TTACTATAAATTTTTTAATTACAAATCATTTTTGAAATTTTAAAATTTTTAAAATATTAATAAATAAATTTCTAATAAAATATTTTAAATTTTTCTTAAAATTCAATTAATTATAAGTTTTTAAAATTTTTACTTACTTGACATATACAAAAATCAATTATAATCTTTGGCTACAAAATTAGATTTCTATTTTTACTAATTAATTTACAAAAACCATTGAATTTTTTCTATAAAATATAAGTTATAATTTTTTTCAATTAAAAATTTATCTTTACATTATCTTGATTATTTTACCAAAGTTGAATCTGAATAATCAAAGTAACAAAAAATAAATAAATAATAATAAAAACTAATTTAGATACTTCATAATATACTTTAAAATATTACATCATCTAAATAGTACATAAGCATTTAAAAAGACCAATGTCTATATATATATATATATATACATATATCATAAATAAAATATTTAATATTAATTTTTTAAAAAAACTATTAACTATAATACATGTGTGGAATATATATATATATATATATAAGAACGTATTAAAGCCACACCCTCCAAACCATATCATGATTAATTTAGTTTAATGTTACTTTAATCCATGTGGTATATTCATGAATCTGACTTAAGGTAGATGAGATGAATCATCATCTTCCATGAGTGCAAAGGGCAATTCTTTTTTTGTACTCAAGCATCTTATTTGCATGAGACTCTCTTCATGAATTTGAAGGGTAGTTCAATTGAAACTATCAAAGAGTGCAAAAGTTAGCTTTGTTAAAATTGCATGAGACTTTTTTTTGCCAACATTAGAGCTTGGAAGGGTGGATTAGGAATGTCTTTTGAGAAGGACCTTGCAAGCATTTCTAGAAAGAATGCGCACAAGATTCAAAAGAAATGGCGGCAAGTAATGGCTATTCAATTATGCTTTTTACTTTGTCATTTTCATTGTACTTCACACTTCATAACATAATACATATAACAGGGTATAGATAAGATATTTGTATTATTGGCACATATAGATAGATTGTTAGAACCATATTTGAGAAGTTATGGAAATTTTTGGAATTGAGGTTAGGTTAGTGGACTAAATAGGATCCACCATGGAATATTCTAAAAAGAGTTTAGAGCGGTTATCTAAGTGGGATCTACTATAGCACCTTCTAAAAAAGGCTTAGGATGGTTATCTAAGTCGGGCCTATTATGGAACCTTCTAGAAAAGGCTTAGGATAGTTATCTAGATCTAGCCTACCACGAAACCTTCTAAAAGGAATTTAAGGCAGTTATGTAAGTGAGGTCCATCATCTAAGAATATTATAGAAAGTCCAGGGTGGTAGAACAAAGTATAAATAGGAATGTCCAAGGCCTTTTGAGGCATCTGGTCAGGTATGGCTTTGGACCCTTTCTCTCAATACAATTGGATTTTGCATCTTCTTGTTTTGTTCTATTTTATTTTAATTCTAATTACTCAGTTTTTTCTTCTATGTCCCATTTTGTTTAATTCTATTTAGTTTTATTTTGATCCAGTTTGTCCTATCTTGTGATGAGATTTTATATTGTTGTGGATTAGAGGGATTTTGGACACTTAAGATAGATTAGTTATGTTTCAATGCATCTTCTTTTATCTTGGTTGAAAAAAATATTTTATAACATTTTTTTTGTTAATTTTTTAATTCTTAATTCTAAAATAATTCATGATTAATCATGACTAAAATAATTCATGACTAATTTAAAATCATGCTTAATAATAAACATATTTAGAATGATAGTAAGTCAAAGGCATTCAATTACAATTGTTCAAAGTTTACATTTACTTCATGCGGTCAAATTCTAGATTCATAAGACAAATTCATAATTCAAATCATGGCTAATCATGCATATTCACATTTAAGAGAAATATAAAAATTTAAGATGCTAAGTATAATTATTTTAGCCATGAGCAATTTTGCAACACATTAATGCATGTCAAATACAACTTTGAGATCAACCTTGTTGCAGAGATTCACATACATAGCTATATATCAGAAGAAAAAAATTAGTTGATTTTTTTAAAATCAAATTAAGCAAGAAATTTTATTTCTTCTAGTTGAAAGCCACTTGATATTATGACATTGAGTATTTAAGCATTCCTTGGAAAAATCAATTGTAATGTTATCAAGCTTGCAATAAAGATATCTTTATAATTACTAATATAATCTAAGAAAAGTCATCGTCCATTCTTCACAATTTACATACATTATGCAAACTTATTAAATGTACCTTATTAACTTTTAAAATGCCTAGATTTCAAAGTAATGTTATTTATATTTAGTAAGAAATGAATTAGCCACTAAGATCATTAAAAGATAACTTACTAACTTGTATTGAGCTTAATAATACATTGCATTTTTTGAAATATGTAAAAATAACATAAACTATTAATAAACCCAATAATTGATCCAAAATTGGTCTCAATTCATATCTGGTGATTTGGATTCTTAAATTCATCAACATCCAATAGAAGTTACATAGAAAAATAAAATAAAATAAAATAAAATAATATCAATTTGTCAATTCTTATATATATATATATATATATATATATATAAGAATTGACAAATTAACAAAACAAATGTTACAAAATATATTTTAAAACTAAGATTAAAGAAGCTGCATTTTATTATGAGATATGAAGCAAAATGAAAATGGCAAAGCAGAATGCATAATTTAGAAATTAATTGATAGTAATCAAACAACAATTACTTGTTGCCATTACTTTTGAAGCATGTGTGTTTTCTTTCTAGAAATGCTTACAAGGGCCTTCCCAAATGACATCCCTAATCTATCCTTCTAAGCCCCAATACTATTAGAAGAGAGTCTAGGGCAATCTCAATATGGCTGCCGTTTGTACTCACAAAGGATGATAAACCACCTCATACACATCAAGTCATACTCATGAGTATCACACGTGGAATAGAGTGATATTAGACTAAATTAATCATCATATAACTTGGAGGATGTGGCTTTAATAAGTTCCAATATATATATATATATATATATATATAATCTAAAACTTTGAATAAATTCATTATATTTTATTATTATATTTTATTTAAGAAATGATAATACTAATAAAATTATAAGTAAAGTATAGTTTAAATTATGAAAATATTATAAGTTATTTAAATATCAAATTATAAATATTTTTTATAAATTTTTGTATATAATTTGTTTTCAAAATTAATCATATAAAAAATGAATATATATATATATATATATATATAACAATCTTTTTGAATATATATGAATTATATGTACAAAACAAAAATCATTAAATTTACATTCTTTTTATTTATTATTGGAACATATCTTTTAAATATTTCTAAATATGTATATATATATATATATATATATATATACATATATGTATATTTTTTTTGGTATTTGACATAAAAAAAATTGAGTATTTAAAATTTTCAACCACTAATCAGTAATATTATATGTTACATGACACTTATATTTTAAAATAATCCTTCTTTTTGAATTGTTACAAATCCTTTGTAATTGCTACATTTCAAATGTAATTTTGACAAAAGGATCAAAATTTCTTCCATTTTCATACAAGCTTTAAATTGTGTTGTAAATTATCATACATGTTTCTTAAATTTAAAACATAAAACAAATAAATTTCACCAACCACTCTTATTATCTTCTGCACATGTCCATGTATCTAATCATACCAAAAAGTGTAAGTCCGTGGTTTTATCTATTCTTCTTTAGAAATGTGCTTCACAGGATGAAGGGTGAAGCTTGTACAAGTAAATTTAGAGTTTTAGTTGGTTTTATTGTTGTTCTACTCAGTAGTTGTTTTTTTATGGAATAATATATTACAACGTGTATTGTACAAAGTAATTACAAATGGAACTTGGATTTTTGCACTTTAAAAATTTATCAAGCTAGTTGTTGCTTTCAATAAACAAAGTTTGAAAAAATTGTTGTGATAAGAATGATTTCAAATTATTGAGCAACCTATTCATTTAATTTTTTTAAAGTTTCGTTTATGATGACAATGAGGTATGAAATGTTAATAGAGAATGAAATATTTCCTAATCTACCAATCAAATTGGATACTACCACCATTGAAGTGTTATTCTGGGATAAACTAAAAGAAATATTGAATGTAAATATTCTGCAGTAAAAATGAATTCAAAATCAGAGTAGATTTGATTTGATCCTACTGTCTCACTTAAATATATTTAATAAAACCACAATTTAAAATTAAATTTTAACTAACTCAATATTGTTTACTGGATAAATTACTGAAATTAATTATTATAATGAATATTCTTACATAACTCATAATTTTTAGTATTCTCATTGGACAAAAAATATAGAAAACATATATGTACATGTATATGTATACAATAAATTTCAATACATATATCTATACATGTATTTGTGAATCATATGGGGAATTTGTTGTAAATTCATTCGGGGGTGGATTCTTGACGTTAGGATCCCAGTCTCACGTTGACTCGAAGAAAGATTCCGCGAACTGCGATTCGGATGCGCTACTGCGTCCAGATACAGTGTACCTGGCGTGCCCTAGTTCATCCCCCCTGGCTGCTCCAATCCACGTGTTCCTTCATCCATCCATCGTAATCAGCGTCTTTTCATCCATTGTTGCGCGTTTCATTCGTTATGCCACTGCTTATTGGGTCTCAACTTCGTGATTTGTTTTTGTTTTGTTTTGTTTTTTTTGTTTGTGTTTTTTTTCCTCTCCTTTTGATGATACTTCTGATATTTTAATAGTATTTTTTGAAAGGGACATTAGTGTAATGAGGAGGCTGAGATTGTATGAAAATTTGTCCTAAAAGTTGGGTTGCTTTTGGATGGATGAATGAAGATGGTTTTGCAAATCAGTTGGATGCATCTCGTCATGGGATTCTTTTCACACCCGGTTGTACTGCTTGATTCAGCTTCCTACTCTTGTTGAAAAAGGGAAGGTTGTGAGACTCTACGTGGTAGCTGAATTCTATCGAGGTGGAAAGGAAAGGTCCGTCTGGTAAGAAAGGCCCTCCTCGAGCTGGACGGGTTCGAGGAGGCTAAGAGCCAACACTAGAAGAAGCGGAAGATGGTGCTGAGTGTTACTAAGAAACTGAATTCAACACTGGCTGACGGTGTAATTTGGTGTAATTTGGTGTCATTGAGAGTGGAGTGGTGATTCTTATCATGTTCTGTGGGTTGGATCGCCGCCTCCCCTGGTTTGCCTTCGCTGCGGCGGTCCAGGACTTTGCAAGCGACGGTTCGATGCAGTAGTAGCGCTGGTGAAGAGCGCCACTGTGCTCCGCGATCTTACGGTGGTTGGGTAGGCTAATTTTGAAGGGGGCGCAACTTCGGGTGGGTTGCATGTGACTGTGGCGGTTGCTGTCGATGTTGTGTTCGGTGTGATGATTGATTGTGCAGATTCCTTGGTTGTGGCCAATGAGCTGGGTTTCGGAGCTGAGATTGTGCTGTTGGATGGGATGCCGTTTGGCGGGGGGTTTGAGGCACTTGTGATTCGTGCGTGGGACGCGTCCAAGGGGTGCACAAAGGGGTCTTTGTACGTCTTTGGTTACTGGTGTTTATCGTAGAGGCTTTGGATTGCCTGGTTTGGTAGGTGTTCGGACATACAGAAGCGTGGCGTTGTTGATTGTTGATATTGTTACTCGTCTTGATGGTGGTAGCCCCCAGGTCTTGAGACGTCGGGTGTATTTTTGGAGTGAAAATTTTGACGTTGATCAGTGTCGGAACCGTCCGCGTTAGACATCTGCAACTTTGGTTCGGTGCTAGGCGGTACCTACAGAATTGTAGAGATAGCGCACTGCTGCATGTCCCTCGTCGTTGGTCAAGAGAGGGATACCTTGGAGAATAGAGTTGCTGTGTACACTGGTATTCTAGGCTGTGACATTGGATTTTTAGAGGCTCAGACTGTGTCTTAGGTAAGGGATCATAGGCGAGAGTAGAAGCTTGACGACAGGTAGATGGGTCCAACAAAGATGTGTACCCGCAAGGTTTGTAGATAGCACTGGGAAACTGGAATAGGAGGTCATCGGAGAGCCGCCATTGTCCCCATCCATTGGTTGTAGATACAGTAAAGGATGCGTGTGTGGAAGCGTAGATACGTGATAGGATTGAGGGTGAGAGGAGGTTGCGTGAAGCCACTTGGGACATGCATCTTCATGGAATGACGAGAGTAGATGGAGCAGTGAAACGCGGAATACGTATGGTTAGAGCCGTTTGGTGGGGGCATTTGTCGGGACGTCGAGAGTTGCTTCGAATGGCAATGAGCGAGTTTGAGTGTGATTCATGGAACGGGGTCAGGACTTGAGTTTGTCTTAGAGTTTGGTGGCATAGAAATGGTAGATATTGAGCATGAACAATTGATGCCAGAGTTACGCGAGTGCACGCTGTTCATTTTTGTGAAATTGAACTGTGATTGTTTCTTTCGATCAGCAATGTCTGTACTAAATCACATGCCACTTCACGTTCACTTTCACTTGAATCCTGACTAATCTTGGGATCGAAATTTTTTTTATCGTTAATCTCATTCTGAAGATTGCTTAGAATGGAAATATCGCGGGTACAATTACGAGTTCTGAAAGATTCTTGTCCCACTTATACTCCTGAACAGACACACTCTTTCATTATGATGATGTGCCTCCCTCTTTGTTGATGGAGTACATTCCTGCCAAGAATTCGGCAGACGTCAAGCTAGGGAGGGCGAAGTTGAAGTCGCCTTGGAACAGAAGCTTAGAATCCTAGAGCGGTCAGCAGCAACATTTGCACCATCTTCTCAATCTCATACAATTGCAAGTTCATTTTGCCGTTTTCTAATGAGAAAATCGAATCAAGTGGCACATCGTTCGTTTGTTGAAACTCCCGACAGCCACCGAAGAAGCTCATGTGTCTGAATCTTGTGCACTTCATTCCTGGTCATGGCGAATGGCAACCTCCCACGCCGCATCTACAATCCATTTCCTGGGCAACCGAGAGGTCTGCATTTTGTGCGCGGTCATCTCCACTTCAATGCTAGCAACTTGACCTCAAGGAAACTGTTTGCGGGGAAGAATTTCCTGGTGTCTTGGGACTCCGAAGCTGGCTGTCTGTCAGTTCACCACCGTAACCAGCAGGATCGCACTTTGTGGGCCACACCTCGCCATGGAGGATTCGTCTATGCAGCATTGGGCGAGTCGACCACCTATGAAAGCCGAGGGTCATACTCTCTCTATGACAATGTTGAGATGCATTTCACTCACCAGACTATCGAGGACATTGGCACTTATACTGAGTTTCAATCACGCAACGTTTTTGAAGGTCCAAATTTTTCAAGAAATTCCAAACTAACGAAATGTTGTAATGATGCCGCAATCGGGATCGATCGTTGTGGAATTGATTTGGTGAATCTGAGAAGTCCGAGGGCTCACAACGATCACTCCGAAGTCGAAGTGGATCCAGACGGAACCACTCTCAATCGAGACGAGGGTGATGCAATCGTTGTGCTCACCGGGTGTCTGTACACAAATTGCAAGCTAGCGAAGGACGAGCTTCGGCTACACGATCGCAGAAGAAGTTGTGAGGAGAGGAGCCAATTCCGTGAAAGGAATAACAATGACGAGGAAATGGATGCCGCCTGGTTTGCGGTTGGCCCCGACGGCGATGATCTTAGAGCCGGAGTGCGCTACAAACTGGTGTTCTCTGAGAAAAGGGACAACCAGCTAGGCTTTCACGTTGAGCTGGATTCCCCTTTCAGAAAGAAAGCAGAGACATTTTTCTCATTCAAAGCTGGAGGTTCGTGGAATCATCTAGCGAGCTAAGGTTATGTCTTGAGAAACAATCGTCCACGTTTCGAAGGCTGGTCCCAGAGCTTGGATGTCAGGGTCGAATTTTTAGTTACAGGCTTGGCGACGTCGATCGATGCCACAGGGGTGGTTCTTTTCGGGGATTGACAAGTGAGAATGGTTCAGGATTTCATGGAGATGACGAAATGCAATGCATGCCAAAACTTAATCGCGTCCTGCTCACCTATGCTTCCGAAGCAGGAGAAAAGTTCTATGGATTTGGGGAGCAGTTTTCGTGCTTTGACATGAAGGGAAAACGGGTGCCTATCATGGTTCAGGAGCAGGGGATTGGGAGGGGAGATCAGCCCATTACAATGGCAGCTAACTTAGTCTCATACAGGTGCAGAATCCTCCGCCCATTTTACACAACTTCATTCCTCCTACTTCAAATCTTCTCTCATCGCTTTAGTTTCCAAAGTTGCAGTAGCAGTGGGGTTCAGCTACTTGACAAGACTGGCATGAAATTGCAGGGCAGGAGGAGATTGGCACACAACTTACGCACCTTCACCACATTATCTAACGTCGGATATGAACTCACTCTTCTTGGAGGGATATGAGCACTGTGTCTTTGATCTTACAAGACCCGACTGCGTCCAACTTCAAGTAGGTTTCTACGAATTGGTTTTACTCTCAGTGCGTCACTGCATCGATTCTTTTAGAATTGAGATATGGTTGCCAAGACTGGGACAAGACTTTTTATGCAAGTTGCATGTAGGTGCATGCAGGAAGCATGAAGGGGCGAATCCTTTACGGTCAGAATCCACCCGAACTCATCAAAGAGTACACGGCAGCAGTGGGCAGAATGCGTGAACTGCCTGCTTGGATTACGAAGGGCGTAATAGTGGGGATGCAAGGTGGTCACAAAGCGGTGCGAGATGTATGGCGAAAAGTGAAAGAGTATGATGTGCCGCTCTCTGCTTTCTGGCTACAAGTAAGTAAATTTGACCTGTCGGAATTGATCCATGGTTTTTAGCTCTCACTCGAAAGGCCCTGTTGACAACACCACAAATTGTGGAAATGGTTCGATTTCTCTTGCAGGACTGGGTGGGGCAGAGGAAGACCAGCGTCGGGTGGCAGCTGTGGTGGAACTGGGAAGTGGATCGTGACCACTATCAAGGATGGGAGGAATTGGTTCGTGATTTTAAGGCCTGTGGCGTCAAGACGATGACATATTGCAATCCATTCATTGTTCCGGTATGGAGCCCCACACTATTCCCCGCTTCCTTCTCGCCCCTTTTGCTTGAACAATCTTTAGATTCCTTCCTTCAAGTCATACCACGTCAGATGATTCTATCTGTCTAAACATGTTTTGAACGTCGATTGATATTAAGTTGGAGAGGTTTTGTGCATGACTGATATGTTGTGAGTTTGCAGACAGACAAGAAAACAAATCGGCAAAACGATTTGTTCACCATTGCGCAAAAGGCAGGATACCTGGTGTCAGACACAATCGGGGCTACATACATGATCCCCAACACAAGTTTCGAAGCCGCAATGCTGGATATTACCAACCCAGAGACACGCCGGTGGTTTAAGCACCTTATGTATGAAATGGTCAAGACAGGCGTTTGCGGATGGATGGCTGATTTCGGCGAATCGCTTCCTTTCGACTGCTGTCTGCATTCAGGCGAAGACCCAGCTACTGCTCACAATAAATACCCGGAAATGTGGGCGGAACTGAATCGTGAGTTTGTCGAAGAGTGGGAGCAAGAGCGACTTGTTGAGAAGCAGAAGAGAAAGTTGCAATCACCGGTCGATTCATCAAGAAAGGCCGAAGACTTCAAGGACTCCGACGAAGACGACGACGATGACACGCTTGTCTTCTTCATGAGGGCGGGCTACCGAGGCAGTCCGCGGTCGGCAACGTTGTTTTGGGAGGGTGATCAAATGGTGAGCTGGGGAGCAAACGATGGAATCAAAAGCGCAGTGACGGGGTTGCTGTCTAGTGGAGTTAGTGGATATGCGTTCAATCACAGCGATATTGGAGGCTACTGCACAGTTGATCTCCCCTTCATCAGGTACAGCCGCACTGAGGAGCTTCTTCTGAGGTGGATGGAGCTCAATGCCTTCTCCGTCATATTTCGCACGCATGAGGTGAGTTAAACCCTAAACCTCTGCAAGTTCGGATTAAAATGAGTGCAGTTAGCAGGCCTATTCCTTATAGACTTATAATCATGGAGCCTGCCAGATTCTACGCAATCGAGCTGATGTAAAAGCATGTAATCAAACAGGGGAATGTCCCGAAAGCGAACACCCAATTCTATTCTAATGACACAACTCTTCGGCACTTTACTCGAAGTGCCAAAATCTACAAGGCTTGGGAGTTTTACCGTCGTCAGTTAGTCAAGGTACGGAACCATTACCACAAGAATCAGTGTGTAATAAACAACGATAACTTTTCGGTAGCCTCTACTCTGTATATCATTAACTTAGGGCTTCAAAGAAATAGAAATGGCAGTTGTGCAAGAAGTTATGGTACACACAACTGCCTTAAGCGGAAGAAATCTGATCTCAGCTTCTTTACTTTTCAATCAAACCCTAGGCACTAAACAGTGACTTCAAGTTTCCTTGTGTCCCAGTCCCTTGCACAGAATTGAATGAACATAATGTAAATCGTGATTCAGGAGGCAGCAGCAGTTGGGATGCCCGTCGTTAGGCATCTATTTCTCCATTACCCAGAGGACAAGTACGTTCAAACCATAGTTTACAAACAATTCTTAGTTGGGAGCGAGATTCTTGTCGTTCCAGTATTAGACAAAGGCCACACACAGGTGCAAGCATATTTTCCCAGCGGTGATGTCTGGGAACATGTGTGGACGGGTCATCAGTACAGAGCCCCAGCTACACAAGGTCTTAAGGTTTGGGTGCAGGCACCCCTTGGATATCCTGCTGTATTTGTGAAGAAAGATTCATGGGTCCGCCAGCAGTTCATTCATAATTTGGAAAAAGAGAACATACTTGAGAAGACTTGGTAACACATTTTTTACCTAACTATTTTAGAGAAGCCTTTTCAAATTGAATAAGCCTAAAGTTGAAGAAAACAGGATTCTTTCACACGTTAATGATGTACATAGATTGATGTACAGGGATTGTAGCATCTTTCGATACCGAAAGTTGTACAGGCTCGTGTTTATACTAGTTTGGAAAGCAGTGGTATGCTGTAAAGGATTTGATTTCTGTCTGTTGGCATATGCTGGTTGTAAAATTTTCCGTTTTAATGACGAGTATCACACACTTAATTAACCATAATATGAATGGCCAGGGAAAAAACGAAAAAGAAAAAAGAACATGATTGTCACCAAACGTCCTCTCAAAAGCATCTTTCAAACCCTCACAGGGAAATGGCAAAACACTTTCTCCGTCCGTATCTTCCTCTCTGTTGCATTCATTTACTAATAGCTATTCTATACAACTAAGATAACTTCACCTGTTCTCTCAAAACTTGTTTCTATTCAAAAATTGTATATCAAATAAAAACTAATTAGGTAGGGCATTGACATAAAATACCTACTCAATTCGTATATGCTACAGAGGGTTGAGGTCAATTTCAATCTAACTAGCTCAATTCGAGAACTGGGCAGAGCAATACCTTGAATATCTCAACTAAATCTAATTGTCTCAAACTAAAACCATTTCAATCAAAATTTGTATGATGACCATGAAGTCAACTACATCCATAATATTTCCTTCAGGACCATTCGCTATTGCTGCCTTCCTCTCTAACACCTAAACATCGACCTCATTACTTAGTGAATATGAACTTTGAAGTTCAAAATTGGGAACTTTTAAATAACGTGAAACAACATCATTGAAGCAGTTGGTACTTCTCAAGGAAATTTGAGGGGTTGCTCAATGCCTTCTTTGCCCGCCAGTAAATATTGCTTGCCTCTTGAATGTTTCCAGCCTGGAGAATAAGCAAGGCGAAAATCAACGCAAAATTAGATGACTGTAAATTAATTGTTCAAACTTGATTCTGATATTTTAATAAATAGTTGAGCAGTAACCTTGAATGATGCAGCACGGGGAAGTACGCAAATCTAACGGGTAAATGGTTTTGTCAGCGAGTATTACCTTCCTCTCTTGAGCACAAAACTCCAACCACAGCCCATCATCGTGATGGCCATACAGTTCAACTCCTAAATTGAACAACTTCCGAAGCTGTTTGAGAGCTTCCGCGTTGCCATCAACTACCGAAGCCGCCTCAATGGCAATACAAGATTTCAAGAAATTTAAACCTGGGCTTGGAAGAGCGATCAGCCTGAAAAAGAGAAAACAACTTACTGATTGAGAAATTTTCACGCATGTCAGGGCGACGAGAGAGATGCCAGTAATCTCATGACTGAAAGCGAAACTACGCACAACATATCTAAGACTTTCCTTTCATTAGTAGTACCGCCCGTATGAAGGTCAATCAATGTATGCAATAGGCTACTCAAAACAAAGAGGAGTTAATACCGGCTGTATATTTCGCGTGCGCGCTGAAGCCCTTCAGCATGAAATACATAGTCTACCAGAGCCGCCGCTACCTCAGCTGCTGCGTGCTTCCTGATAGTTCCGGCCAAAATACTTTCTAAAAATTGTAAAAACCCATCAAGTTGCTTTCGATTCACCGTCTGAGCTTCAGCAGCCTGGGAGCAGCATACTTCAAGGTTAATAAGACATACGAGGCTACCATACACAGATATAAGAGGAAGGTTAAGCAAATAAATATGGGCAAAAAGGAAAGTAATGCTATGACCCAAAATCCAATCGATGTCATCTGTTACTACTAAAAATTTCCACGTACTTGGTACAGGGACCAATCTAAAATATGTCAATTCATAAATATAAACCTCAATGACTGCGTAGAGGTTACAGGTCGAACATACAAGTTCATGTGAAGTTTGCTAAATGAGGCACTTACATGGACAGCACCAATCCACTTGCGACAATTTCCTTGACCATCTAAACCATGAGGGGTCGCTGGGATGAATACGAGAATACTTACCATTTGCAACAATATCTTCACATCGTCGTTAGCCATTTTTAACGATGCCTTCAGAAGCTTCATATGCTGCTCAGAACCTTGAAGGTTCTTCACACTGCTGAGCTTAGTCTCTATGGAAAAAAGCTGCATCCATATTCTTGAAGACCCGCAAGTTGAGGCAGTCTCCTTGCATGAGTTTTCTAATGACTCTATGGCTGAACCTACATTCCCCCACCGCAATAGAAGACCAGCTTGACCTTGAGCGAGCGCTTCACTCTCGACACCAGCTACTTTGGCGCGTTCATACAATGTGAGCAGAGTTTCTGCAGATTTCTCTAAATTTTGACTACCATCAGAGGATTGATCAGCTTCAATCTGCTCATCATCATGTTCTAAATTATTAATCAAAAAATCAGCATAAAGTTCATACATACGTGCTGACGAGACGGATTGAAGGCCTTCTTCATAAACCTGCACAGTCAAACATAAAGTATACCAGCCAGTTAGCAAACTTGATTGCAAGAGCTTCCCAAATTAGCAAGTCAATAATGCACCATATGTGTCTAGGATGAACATTACACTAATAGGTAAAACAGTCGATATCACAATGTCGAACGGGAGAGTGAAGCATGAGACAAATCAATCAGCGACAAATATGAAAGGACATGCCATACATTTGTAGCTTCCTTCCTGCACTCCAAAATATCCATCCCCTTGCTCTCAGCTTTGACATATTGGCGTCTTGCAAGCCAAGCCCAACTATTTTCATCTGTGACAAAATCCTTTCGCATACCAGCATATATTTCCTCTTCAAGCGCCTCTAATTTTTCCACATCAATAGTTTCAAGAATCTCAAGAAACCTTTGCCGAAATTGAAGATTGTCCGGTATTTCAGCAATAGCATTCCTGTATATAACTTGAGCAATCTTGCAGCTCGCTGTGTGATGGGACACACGAGGTTTCTCTTCCGTCGCAGCTACATCTGTTTCTGAATTGGAAACACCATTTTCATGAACCTCGCCCGCTTCTATAATAGCAGGCTTCTCTTGTGAAGCCAAACCTAAAACCAACCTTCTAGCCTTTACTTTCTCGGCAAAAATTAATTCCATACGAAAATATTCATGCCATAAAATTTCCGATTTTGGGCACGATCGAATCCCTTGTTGCATAAGAGACCGAGCAGCAGTCACATTCGAATTGTGTTCAGCCTCCCAAACTGCTGCATAAATCCACAATCCAGGAACTGCAGGATGCAATTGAATAGCCTTCATCATCACCTGTAAGAGTGAAAATAAGGTAATCGATGTTTTAATTCCCTCGACAACTTGCAAGAAGACTTCATTCACGATTGGCAAAGTAAGGCGCAGATTATACCACATACAACAGGCCATAGATTGAATAAAAAAGAAAATGACAAGATGCTGTAAAGCAAATTCGTAAAGCAAGATGCTGTAATGCATTAGGAATATGTCCACTCTACGCGAGAAAAACCTAGCATGGATGTAGAGTGTCAAAACTCACCTTCTGGACCCGGCGAGTGCCTCGAGCCCGGCAGAATTCGGCATATCGTAGCCACAACTCCAAATCCCCTTTGAATTTCGTCACAGCGCGCTCATATATCATCATAATGCGCATGGCATTACTCCGATCACAAATTGAATTACGCCATGATTCACCTTTAGCTTTGAGGCTTTCACATAATACCTACATCAGTGGAAAGCATGGTAAGAAATGAGGTCATAAGGGAAATAAACCTCGTCTTAACTTACTTATAAGCTTCGCAAAGTCTGCATTAGTCTGTAATTTGATCCGGGTTTAAATTATTATTTGGTAATCAACAGTCTCCTTACACATTTGTTCCTCTGAGAGAATGCGTACTAGCTTTGGTTTCGTACAATCTCCTAATGCGAGCTGAAGTTGAACTTGGGAAATGCACTCCGCTGGCAAATTTCATCTAAAAATCCTGCCCTATTTGGACACTGGAGACAGAATTCCGATCGAGCACTCGAATTGCTAGGAGAGAAGCATACAATCCCCTTTGCATCTCACCTTCTTCCGGGCCCGCCGGATAGTCTCCAGCTGCGTCTCGTAGTCCACATACCGCAAAAAGTCCTGCTTGAGAGCGGAGTGGCGCTTCAGGAGGTATTCGAAATCACGTCGCTGCCGCGCAATCTCCTTAATCTCGTCTCGACTGAAAAGCCCCCGCTGCTCCAAATCTTCCAGCTCGGGAAGCATCCGCTCCATGTGGTAAGCCACGGTGTCTGCCATGGCTGCCTCTTTTCACTACCGCCCTGCACTTCGTCGTTCCCCCACCTATAGTAACCCGAACCTCAACAGAATGCAGATTTGCAGCAAATTGGACCCACAAACTCGACAACCCACAAGCTCGAAACCCACAAAAAGTGAAGCTTTGCCTCGCGCAACGACAAGACCCCAATCCCCTCATCCGATTAGGGTTTAGGGTTTTAGGGCTTGAAGACTCTGGAGTCCTATTCACACCTTACTCCCAGATAACGCAATGACTTTTGAAAATGACCTGCTTTTCCTTTAGTGCTTCATTTCTATGTGTTTAGCTTATCTACAGCATTTGCATTGTGTAATATAATTATAAATGCTGAGATGAAGAGTGTGTGTGTTGTCAGAGTTACGACCAATTTTTAGTAATGATAATTTATATTTATAAATAAATGCAGCCATAGTCATAAAAAGTATCAAAATTTTAACATGGTTACTAGGAGAAACTAAAGTATCTTTTTAAGTGTCTCGTGGATGCTAAATAATATGTTCTAAAATGAAATTCCACTCTTGCAAGCAAACAAATAAATTTTTATTGCAAAAATGCTAGCCTTGTAAGAATCTGATGTGGCAACAATAAGGCAAGGTGTTTTATTCTAAAATCATGGTAAAAGTAGGCTTCAAAGAGTCCAATAAAAAAATCCTAATTAAATTGCCAGTACTTGCTCATAAACCTGTAAGTACTATTGTGCAAGTTCATAAGAGAAAAAAGTATTGGAAACACTCAATACATTATGAAAGAAACTCTCCATGACTCCAATGAAAATTCCACAAGTCAAAAGGAGTGGTTGCATAGTATTACTTTGAAGAGAAGTAAGAAAACATATCATTTGCCCTCACATTTTTAGTGTGCGAAATTGGGTCACATGGAATGTGTGGGATGAAAGAACCTCTGTCTAGTAAATCAAAAAATCTCATTTTTGGATCTTGTATTGTGAAAATAAAATAAATAAATAAATAAATAAGATCTCATACATTTTATAGTTCAAGTTTTCTCAATCTGTGCCAAGCACCAGATTCCTCCTATCAAACCACAACTATCCCATGACCTCAGTTTTCCACAAATTGTGCAAACTTCATATAAATTTTAGTGCACGTGTGTGTTTGTTCATTATTTATTTATTTTACTCTATTTTTGGAGACATGTATATCTGATGAAATTTGGCTTACACATGGGTCTACACCATAACTTCACAAGCACTTCAACCAAAATTTCACACCAAAAATTGGAAGTATGATCCATGTCTAGCATATGTGGCGGCATTTGTACAGAGTGAGTTGGCAAAGCCGCCCACATGGCTGCTTTACAATGGCCCACCTGGAAAACCTCATACAAAAGTGCAGATACATGAGCTTTTGATATATGTATTCTATTAGTGTGGAACATATATTAGACTTCTTTTTGTGGTGATAAACATTGTGACTCATACTCCACCTTTAGTAACCTTTGCAATACCTAGTGGTAGATGAACCTTCAGCTTATCCATCATCTCAATTCCTTAATTTGATATTTTTTTTTATTGTACAAAACAAAATCCTATGTTTAAGGAAAGTAAGATATTAGGGCATTTGTTGCAAAGACAACAGTATTACTAGTGAACCCCAATATTTTGTTCTATTTTGTGGATGAGTGCATCAGTAAAATGAACAACATCTGGCACATTGTTGAGAGTGTGAACAGATCAAGATTCAAGATAAATGTTTAAATTTGATCACTCAGATCTAACAATGGGAGTACTAAAAATAAAATAAACATGCAAGGCACTATTATTCATTTTTATTATTATTATTGGTACTCATTGGCAATTTGTGAGTGATTTTTGAAGCAGGAGTTGAAAGATGGATTTTTCAAAGCTCCTCACCACTTTGTAAACATTTTTGTATTTTTCTTTTTTCTTTCAGTTTTATGTATGTCTCTTTATTTTGTTTTCTTTTTCTTTTTCTTTTGCTTTACATAATTTCACTAATCACTCATTTTTTGGTATTTTTTGGTATGTACTTTTCAAAATACATTCCCAAGCAAAACAAGATCTTTGAGGTGTTCACTTGTGACAAAGACAAATGCACAAAAATAAGAGTTGTGCTAATACAATCGATGTAAGCCTTTAATAAGCTAGAAGTTGCTTCATGCTTAGGCCAAGAGACATTTAATTTCTTAAAAGTGTCATATCAAGAGACAAGAAGCAACACTATAGTAAAAGAGATTCATTTGAAAATGCCAATCTTGCTTAGTTTAATGCTAAAAGGCAACACATTGTTGCCAATTCATAGCTTAATAGAGCACTAGCATTCTAAGTAATCTAATGTGAGCCTTGCTGCTTCAACATCTCAATGGGCTTGATTAGAAAAAAAGTCAAATCTCTTGTTGCATCATTAAGACCAAATTATAATGCATCAACCAGTATGGACATACTTATATTGCTTCTAAATTCAATCTCAAAAATCTAATTCATAGTTGTTGGCATCATTAGTACCTTCAAATATTACTATTGTTGCTTTGAGTTGCAATGCATTATTGTCAAAGCCAAGATTGATGAGTGCAACATCTACAAAATCAATTAATTCATTCTAATAAATTGGGCAAAAGTTGTATGGAATGAGATTTTGGCAATTACTATTGCCAAATACTTTTTGCATATTAGATTATTTAGTAATGAATAAGATGTGAATGATGAGACAAAACATTTTTTCTAGGGCTAATTTATATTGCAAATAAATAAGCTATTGTAAATAGATTTTGGCAATAATTGTTGCACTTGGCATAGCATATTCTATGTCAATTAAATCCTTCCTCAATCTTGTCAAAAAAGCTAATATATTGTATGTAGAGCTATATTGCTAAGAGTTGTTTGTATTAGGAGCATCAAAAGACAAAGATGAGAAGCTAAATGGGGATGAAAAAAAAAAACTTCAAGTTCAAATCTTAGTTAAATTTTTATTATCTTTAGTAAACTCATCACATTACTTGATTATACCAAACCTACCTATTTTATGGTGCATCAAGTCTTGCAATGTATATGCCATGATATTCATGCCACCAAAACTAGAAGGATAGTGCACTTGAAGCAACAAGTTCTACTTTGACTTTGGTGATTGTTGCAACTACAAACATATTTTTATCAAAGAAATCTTTGACAACATGAATCTTGTAAAACTTTTGAGACTATTTGAAGCAATTGGGTGTATATTCTACTAAGGAAAAATTGGTTGTGCAACTTCATATAATCTATCATCTTTCTTATGAAAGATTTTATATGTAACTTAATAATTGCAATTTGGAATATTTAATATTAAAAATTAGAGGTCCTACCTTAAAGCCATAGAATCAAGTTGATAAATAGAAAGTGATGTTAAAAAAATAAAAAATAAAAAACTTTTGGAAGATTAAAAAAAAAAAAAATACAATTGTGAGTATATATGTATATATGTTTTATAATTTTAAAAATATAAATGTGATATATCTTATTTAAAAAAAAATCAACCTTGCATATTCTTACAAAACTCTAATAAAAATGATTTCATTTCACAAGTAATATAAGTCCATAAAATATTATGATGATTTTTAGACTTATCTATTTTTTTTCCTTAAAATTTATTTATTTGAATGAATTTCATATCTTCTTGTATCTTTACATTGAAATATAATTTATTATTATTAATACTATTACTATTATATAGACTTATTAACTATTATTATATTTTATCTTATTTTAATATATATATATATATTTATTTATTTATCATAAAAAAATATATACTTGCAAAAATCAATCCTACATATTTATAGATGTATGAATGTATAAATAGAATAAGTAACCCTTTTAGCTGTTGATCATATTGATTAAAGAAATAAGTTAAAATATAAATCAATCAAACCATCAAAGTATCATAAATTTAATTAATCAAATTGATTCCAATTATGTATTTTAAATTGAAATAATATTTTATTTATTTTAATAGGATTATTTTGAAAATATAGATATAGAAAAATTATATAGTAAATGTCATAAAACATCATTCTAAAATACACAAAATATATTTTACTAAATCAAAATTATATAAAATTTTGAATAGTACATTTAAAAATAAAATTGATATTATAGTTTTAAAATAATTCATGTTTTAAAAGTTTTAATTTTATTTATTTCCTTTTAATAAAAAATAATACATACGTATATACATATTTATATAATTTTGTATTTATATGAATATTTCATGCATTATAAAATTTGTAATTGAGATTAATTTTTTTTAGAAGTAGTTAAATAATTCAAAGAAAGAAATATACATGTAAAAATATATAAAATATGAATTTTTATTTAATTATAACTTGATTTTATACATCTCAAGAACAATTCCATTAGGTTAAGTACTGCAATTAGTAAATCTCTTAAATCTGAGTATATGGTATCATAGTTCTTACTTAATACAACAAATATTATACTGTAAAGATGTTGAAACTAATCTTTCTGCTAAACTAAGGCTAGAAACTCTATCTTTCTCTATTTTCAAAATCATATCTCTATTTTTAGAATCATTGAGGAAGTGGTTTAAACTACAGACAAACTTGTTGTCTTTCATCTACATTAAACATACAAAAATATAACACACAATGACAAAAACTAGAGTTGAAACTTAAACATTGACAATGGTGTATAATGAACTACATATTGCATGTATTATTGATATAAAACAAAGAAGAGAAGGCACATTTTTAGCCCATTTTTATGAGCACACATACAACTGAAAAACCACCACTCTTTCCAACACAAAAAAAAAACCTCTTAAAAACTACCACAACAGCATTAACATCCATGTACACAAAGAAGGCATTGTTACTGCACTCTGGTAACTTTTACAGAAGGACTGGTCAACCTCTCTTAAACAATGGTATCTCTTGTTATTGTTTGTTGCTTTATTATTATTATTATTATTATTTACTTAAGCAAAATGATTCAATGACACACTGCCCTCTTTAATGATTTGTGGATCTGAGCCCAACTGAGCCATCCACATGCAAGATGCTAAAAACAATTGTGGAGTTGGATTTAAGGTAGTTTTTTCTGAGCAGAACTGATTCACCCACATGCAAAAATGCTGTAGAAAATGTGACAGAGGAAATTTAGGGCAGTTTTGCAAAGGGCACACTTCAGCACTGAGCCCCAGGCTTTGCTTGATCTTGCTGACATTAAGCATGGCTTCACAGGGGATGCTTTGCCATCATTCTCCCTCTATACACCTTTGCTAAGTTTCTGAATATAATTTCATGCTAAGCTTTTGAGTCACACAAACCCACTTACATTAAAATTATAATACAGAAAACCAACAAATATATCAACATTGCATGTCCATCTTCCAAACAATTTACTACCCTGGTTTTCAGATTCAATATCTCTAAAGGCAGTAGTTGGACATTGTGCAATGATTCATGAATACTGACACAAACTTTTCCAGAAGTTGTAAGTAAAGTTTGTACACTAAAAAAGAGTATAAAAAAGAAAAGAAAAAGGCGAGTGAGCGAGAGAGAGAGAGAGACGAATGAAATTCAAACAAAAGAAAAAAGAAAAAAAGTAGAATCCAAATGTCATTTTCATAGAGAATCAAACCATAAGTCATGAGTCCACAATACTGAAAGACAAAATGTAATGAAAAAGAAATATACAAAGGTGTCTTTTTGATATTATTATCAAGGTCAAAACGTGGGTTTTGGTATTGATATTTTGGCAGAATCAACCAATCGATACGCAGTTGTATTTGTTTTCTTTTTTCTTTTGTTTACAGTAAGAATGAGAGACAAGCACAGAAATGTTGGAAGAATCAAAGCTTCGGAGAGAAAGAAAAACAATGCAAGAGTGAGCAGAAGAAGAGGAGAATGGGGGAAGAGCATCAAGGGAAAAAAGGCTGAAGGATGAAGGAATTGGGGGAGCAAGTGGCGATGGCGATGATGCGAAGTGGATGGTGCAGAAGAGGTAACGAAATGCGGGCGAAAGCTGTGAGGCGACGGTGCTAAAATCAGCCCGAATCTGATGAACCTGAACGCAGGGCGGCGATGAATATGCGGCGATTTTTACTGGATTGCGAGAGGAAGATTTTTCTCCACGTGGCCGAACTCATTTGCGCAAGTGGAAAGCGTTCTGTCTGTTAGGACGGCGTCCAGGACCTGCACGAGACTGGTGATGGTACACGATGCGATGCTATGCGATACGCATGCGAGAGAGAGACTGAATTGTGGACTGATTGTAGACAATTATCAGCTGGTGGTGGGCTAATTGCGAGCGGAGAAGACGAAGCAGAAGCAGAAGCAGAAGAAGATGCCATTGCCGTCGTCTTCGATTCCTGCGTAGCTGCTCCGCCAGTCCTGGCAGGTGCCATGTTCTGCCGCTCCACAGGCATCATCGGCTATTAATCCCGTCTTCAATGCTATGATCTTCACTACATCTCCCCACCTCTTGCCTTCCTCCTTGCGCTCTCTCTGTGGGTTGGATCGCCCTTGGGTTCGTTACGCGGGTTATTCGACGTTGCGAGCTAGTTTTCTCTGCTGTAATAGTAATAGTAATAGTGCTGGTGGAGCGCGCCCGTCTCCTCCGCAAGCTTCTGCAATTGAAGGGGCGTTCTTTGAAGGAGGCGCCACTACCGGTGGGTACCTTGTTGGTTGTGTCGGTTGTTGTCGATGTTGCGTTCAGCGTGCTGATCAATTGTGCCGTCTCCTTCGTGGTGGCCAATGTGCTGGGTTTCGGAGTTGCGATTGTGTGGTATGCTGTGGGGTGGAGAGCGTGAGGCAGTTGTGATTCGTTCGTGAGACGCGTCTTTGTAATTCTTTGGTTACTGGTGTTTATCGGAGAGATTTTGGATTGACAGATTTGGTGGGTGTGTGGGCACACAGAATCGTAGCTTTTTTCATTGTTAATATTGTTGTTTATCTTGTTGGTGGTAGCCACCGAGTTTTGAAAGGTCGGGTACTTTTTTTTGGGTGAAAGTTTTGACGTTGATTAGTGTCGGAATCGTCCGCGTCAGACATCTGCAACATTGATTCTGTACCAGGTGATACTTACAGCATTCTAGAGACACCGCACGGCTGCGTCTCCCTCGTCGCTGGTCAAGAGGGGTACCTTGGAGAATAGTTTTTCTGTGTACACTGATATTTTAGGCTGCGACATTGGTTTTTTTTTTTTTTTTTTTTTTTTTTTTTTAGAGATTCAAACTGGATCGAAAGTTTCCAGATAGCACTGCGAAATTGCACTAGGAAGTTGTAGAGAGTAGCCATTGTCCACATCCATTGGTTGGGGATCCAGTGGAGGAAGCGTGTGTGGAATCATTGAGGCAATAGAGGATCAAGGGTGATCCTTGTAGGAGAGAGAAGGTTGCGTGAAGCCACTTGGGATGTGCTCTCTCGTGGGATGACGGTAGCGGATGGGGTGGTGAAACGCGGAATGCGTATGATTAGAGTCGTTTGGTTTGGGCAATTGTCGGGAAGTTAAGAGTTGCTTCGAATTGGAATGAGCAGATTTGAGTGTAATTTACGGATTGGGATCAGCACTTGAGTTCGTTCAGAGTTTGGTGGCAAGAATGTTAGAAATCGAACATGGACAATTGACACCAGGGTTGTGTGACAAAACGTTTGATAAGCTGTCCAATTTGATGAAAACGATTATTGCTTGTTTCTATATCGAATCGTATTAATTGCAGGGCGAGTGAAGTTTTCCCAAAGCATGTGTTCACTGTTGTGTCGCATGTACGGGATCAATAATGAATGTAGAGTGATTGGCTTGGTGATTTCCTATCTAATGAGAGCTGTGTTACGATGAACAGGAGTACGTGCTGGACAGCCAAGGCCCCACTTGAGTGGCAGAGCTGCTGGACCAACCTCGTTTTTCACGAGTTCTTCCGAGGTGACTGAGTTCTCGGTGGGTGACAAAGACATGGAGTCCGCTGATGCCATGGTCTGTATGCCAATAGTCAGAGAAGCTATTTTTCGGTTCGATATGTCGGATGCTGCACGACAACAAGCTGCTCCGTGTCTTTCCTTTGAGAATCCGAAGCTTCGAGATGAGCCAATTGACCAGTCCAGCCCCGAGAGGAAGACTCCCGTCTTTGTCCCACGGATGAATATGGATGGTGGTCAGCAAGTTGTTACGTTTTCGGTGAGTGCATTGGCCCATTTTTGATAAAAAATCAGATGGCAGACGTGATTCTGATGCTTTCTTTTACCACTCTCAACTTTTTACTTCTATGGTGTACTGTACGTTACAGTAAATTTATAAATACTTAGGCATGAGTCAAGTTTTTCGGCAGCCATTGAGATTCTTGTAAGTATTGCACGTGGAAAATGTGCTAAATTAGAGAGGAATCGCGACTGATGTCTTCATTTCAGCAACAACCTCAAAGTTTGAAAGGCTTGTGAGATCCAGCGCCGCTGTTTGCAGAAAGTACTACATGAGAATATTGATAAACAAATCTGGTTTTTTTTTAATGCCTTTTTTATGCTAAATTTGTGCTATGCAGCTGCCTGCTGGCACCGCATTCTATGGAACTGGAGAAGTGGGTGGATCGTTGGAACGGACAGGGAAGCGGGTGGGTATTTATTGACCAGTTGATTTCTCTATTGGTTTAATATCACCACAGCGTGATTATTTATTGATTTATTTATTTATTTATTTGTTTTTGGAGCTTATTTCTAAACGTATAGATGGTGTATCCGACATGCTGTTATGCTCATCTGTCGGTGATATTGTACAGCATCCCTCACGCCTACTATGTTTTATGCGTTCTTGCAGATATATACATGGAACACAGATGCCTGGGGCTACAATCAGAATACGTCGTCATTGTACCAGTCACATCCCTGGGTTTTCAGCGTGTTGGAAAATGGGGAATTTTTTGGAGTACTTGCAGATACAAGCCAACGTTGTGAGGTGATCTTTCGTTTTCTTATAATATCTGGCATGAATTTGTTGCATGGTTTTGGATCGTAAGATGAATAACCCCAAGGATTATTATGTGCGTCAAGCAGATATTGCTTTCTTTTGGTGCACTGTATTACTCATGCTGCTGTCGTTGGGTTGCAGATTGATTTGAGGAAAGAAGCGGTTATCAGGATTGCAGCTGAAGCGCCATATCCCGTGATAACATTCGGGCCGTATCCCAACCCGGAGGCGTTGTTAGTTGCGCTTGCGAGTGCTATTGGTATTTCCTGTCTACACTTTCTAAATTCTGTGGAACGCACTCACTAGTGGTAGATGTACTCAGGGACATTGTTGCTAGATGATGGTTTCATCGATGTGCCACGTTTAACTTCGATTGATCTTGAATTCCCGGTTGTTCGCAGGCACCATCCAAATGCCTCCGAAGTGGGCTCTTGGATACCAACAATGTAGATGGAGTTACGAAACGGCAGAGAAAGTATCTAAGGTTCGCTAAATAATATTTATTCATGTGTTCAGGATATGAGATATTGTTATTTGTTTTTATTTATTTTTGTTTTTTATACTGCAAATGGTTGTAACGACATTAAGAGGCATTTTGCAGGCACACTCAGTCGATAATTATATCAACGATCTGAACCTTCCACAAGGAAATATGGGAGATGACTCAAGTATGATGTGGTGTTGTGACTCAGATTGCTAATACTTTCCGGCAGAAGAACATACCTTGTGATGTTGTCTGGATGGATATCGATTACATGCATGGGTTCAAGTGCTTTACATTTGATGAGGTGCGGGCCTCTACTATTACACCCATTTTTCAGTCAATCACGCATGTTGAGTATTCTGTTTACAACTTCGTGTGGTTTCAAACTTGCATTAATTGAGGGTTCAAACCTTACTTTTGCTACCAGCGGCTGGAAGAACAAGGTGGCATTAGATTCATGAGCTGATTTTGATGACTTGTTTTAAAAAGAAATCCTCTCCATTTTTGTAGAACTTCTTCCCAGATCCGAAGGCTCTTTCAGACGAGTTGCATTCCATTGGCTTTAAGGGGATCTGGATGCTTGATCCCGGGATCAAGGCAGAGAAAGGTTGGGACGTTTATGACAGTGGAACTGAGGTGGACGCTTGGATTCAAACTTCGAATGGGAAGGATTTTATTGGTATGTCACTGCGCCGGCATGGTTGAATAATTTTCTGTACGCTTCACAAAGTTGATAAAATTCTGCTTGCTTTTAATTTAGGAAGACAAATTACAACAGCTTGCAAATACAAGGAACTGGGCAAATATAAACACCTAAAATGGTGAAGTTATTTTCCCTTTCAGGATTTCGCATTAGACCCTTACATTTGTCTTGATGTTTTTGAACAGGTGAATGTTGGCCTGGGTTAGTCGTGTTCCCAGATTTCACAAACAAAAACACCCGCAAGTGGTGGTCCAAATTGGTGGAAAAGTTCGTTGCTAATGGTGTGGATGGTATTTGGAACGATATGAACGAGCCAGCAGTGTTCAAGGTATGCTGCAAATTTCTACGTTACTTGTGTCTTTTTTTTAAGACTTTCTTGGAGGTATCCATTCACTCTCTCTTTCTCTGTCTCGATTTGAAACATATTTATATCGATAATATCAACACCGTGCAGACTGTATCCAAGACCATGCCGGATACCAATATCCATCGAGGAGATGAGGAACTTGGCGGTGTTCAGTCTCACAAATATTACCATAATGTAAGTGCTAGATTTTATTTATTTATATTTATATTTATATTTATTTTTAATCTGTGAAATTGGTTGAAGTGGGTACATTTTTTTTGAGTAGTTTTCCACATCGTAAAGATACTATCAATGTGCCTTGAAGCTCATGAACAATTACTGCAGGTGTATGGTATGCTCCAATCGAAGGCCACAATGGAAGGTATGTTGGCCGCCAACAAAAACAAGCGACCATTTGTGCTGACCCGAGCAGGCTTCATTGGAGGTCAGAGATACGCTGCAACCTGGACTGGTGACAACTTAGCAACTTGGGAGCATATGGCCATGAGTGTTCCTATGGCTCTAAACTTGGTGCGTTAACCCTAATATTCCTATGCACGCTCTTCGATCTGATGCAGCTGACAGCTTCCATGCAATCGCATCTTCGCTCTTCACTCTGATGCATCTGACATCTGACAGCTTCCGTGAAATCGATTCATGTAGGGGTTGAGTGGACAGCCATTCGCTGGCCCTGACATCGGTGGATTTGCTGGAGACGCCACTCCGAAGCTTTTCCTTCGATGGATGGGCATTGGAGCCATGATGCCTTTTGCCAGGGGTCACTCCGAGCAAGGAACTATTGACCAAGAACCTTGGTCCTTCGGTCCAGAGGTATATCTGAAACTCAGTTTATTAAAAATTTCTTGAGATATTGATGCCACGATTAGGCTTACAGCACATCAGACTTTTCTGTGTATCTAATTGATAATGAACTCATTTGTCGTTCATGACACTAAGTTCATCACTGTTGGGTAGGCTTTAGTACTGATTCAACATCTGCTCACTTTCTTCTGTAGGTGGAGGACCTGTGCAGACTCGCTCTTAACAGACGATATCGGTTTCTGCCCCACTTTTACACCCTTTTCTACCAGTCACACAAGACGGGCTTGCCAGTGATGACACCCTTGTTCTTTGCTGGTATGTTACTGGATTTTAGCTCTATCATGTTGATTGAATTTCATTAAATCTCTTTGGATTGTCTTAGAATCAAGGGCGATGTCTAATGGTTGCATCACTTGTCGATTTTGGCAGATGCGTCCGACCCCTCTCTTCGGAAGAGAGACGACAGCTTCTTGCTTGGACCTATTCTTGTTTCTACTTGGTAAGTTGTATCTACCTATCTGCCAATTATTCTTAGGTAACATTAGTGCACGGAAAATCCAAGACAATGCTTTCAACCCTGTGATTACTTTTGGATATCTGACCTAGTTCTTTGTGCAGTCCTACTCCGAATCCAAGGAAAAACCTGGAGGCGGATCTTCCGAAAGGCATTTGGCGGCGATTTCATTTTGAAGATGACAATCCGGTAAGTGGTCATCTCACTCGCCACCAAAATCCACTTTCATTTGATACAACAATCTATCAACTCTCTGTCTTTTTTGTTAGGATCATACTCACCTGTATCCTTCTCCTGATTGTTCCTCCTTCTGTCGCTTATTTCAGGAGTTGCCACTCTTATTCTTGAAAGGAGGAGGCATTGTTCCAACTGGTCCTGTCATTCAGCATGCTGGCGAAGCCAAGCGCTCTGATACTATCACATTGCTGGTTGCTCTTGATGATCAAGGCAAGTCCCCATAACCTTCCGCCAATCGTCTTGTTCCAAAAAGATTGCGGAGGATGTATTAAATGTCTTACCTGTGTCTTGCAATACATCTTTGTTATCTCTTCAGGAAAGGCCGAAGGAATCCTGTACGAGGATGATGCTGATGGCTTCAGTTTCCAAGATGGTCAGTATTTGCTCACTACCTACGAAGCCCAGCAGGTGTCCATCGAGAACGTTAGAGATGGAAGTGAGGTTGTAGTAAGAGTTACTCGTTCTGAAGGCAAATGGACGAGGCCTGACCGCCAATTACATGTCCGACTTCTGATTGGCAACACAACCGAGGTATTAGTCGATTTCAAGCTTATGAAGATTATTGAAAAAAACTTTTACTCTGCTTTGCATTTTCTCTCTTTCGCTCTCCCCCCATTAGGATGTGTGTACAAAACCTTGCGAACTTGAGAATGACTATTCTCTGCAGGTTGAAGGCGAGGGAAAAGACGGAGAGGAAGTGAGGATTAAGGTGCCGCCTAAAGCTCTTCTTGATAAGATAGAGGCAGCCAACCACGAATTCGGGATTGCTGAAAGAGGTATTCGTTATGATCTTCTACAATATTTTGCTTTTGCCATCACCAAGTTCCTTGAATATACTCGAGTTCTTTGTTCTATATGTGAATCAGAGTGTCACTTTCTAACTCTCTTGATGAATTGTTTTTGTTTTTACCTTTTGCAGCTAAGACACAGTCAATCCTGGATCAGGTATTCCAGGAGCACGAAGCTGTGAAGGGCGCCGGTGTTGTCCTGGAGCCTATTGACTTGGTGGCCGGCAACCTTGAACTTAAAACCGTGTCATGGATCGGTGGCCGCATAATTTCAATCATTCACAAGCCATCCGGATACTCATGGTTGGAGGGAAGGTTTGAGTCTGGGTGTTACGAGGAGTACAGTGGCAGCGAGTGGCGGTCTTCGGGATGCACGGAGGAGTACAAAGTTGTTCGGCATTCTTTGGCAGCCTTGGATGGTGAAGAGTTTCTGGGACTGGAAGGTGATATTGGCGGAGGTTTGGTTATGGCTAGAGATATTTCTGTTGGCAAAGAATCGCCTGATACTTTGAGTATATCTTCGAGGATTGAGGCGAGATCGGTCGGTGCTGGTTCCGGTGGCTTTTCAAGGCTCGTTAGGCTCCGCATTCGTCCGCTGTTCAAGTTGGATCATCCTCTTGTCTCCATGGTGGAGTACACTGCCATTGATGGTACTGAGCATATACTTCGAGCGACCACGGGAGTTGCAGAAATGGTGTTCACCGGTGACAGCAGACCAAACGGTGAGCTGCTGGAGATCTTCGTTTGTCTTGACAATCCTTTCTCGTGATTTGAGCTAATGTGTGCATGTTTACCGGTCCAATCTTTTTACGAAAGAACACTTGGATGTGCAGGCGAATGGATGCTTGTGGATAATCAAACTGGTCTGGCGGTGGTGAACAAATTCGATGTCAACCAGGTTGAGTTGTGTATGGTCAATTGGCTCCCAGGATCTGTTACAATGGAACTATGGTCCGAAGAACGCCCAGTGTCAAAGGACACGCCTATCGTCGTTTCGCATCGATATGAGTTCATCCACAATTAAAGCTAGATTTCGAAGAAGATCCATACAAAAGACGGTTATTGTAGCTCCTACTGCGGAATGTTCGTGACACTGCCGAAGAATTATGCAGTCTTGAATTTTATTATTGTAAAGATTTGAAGTGTTTTATGTCACAGTTGTAAACCTCTACTGCCACTCAAATTTTGGTTCCACTGAGGTTGCAATCCCAGATAATGGATTATTCTTGTCGGGTAATCGTAGAGAACTACTGTGAACGCTTCTGCTGGTATGGCGGGGCCCTGGATCATACACTTTGAGCAGATCGTTGAACGCATGAACAGTAATCTTTTGGGAGGAAATTAGTGTTACATGTGCAAACGAAATCAAATTAAAAATAGCCAGTTTAACTGGTTTGTTATTGCTTCCTACTTCTGCGAAAGCGTCCCTGTTTGCGGATGACATTAGCCGCCATAACGTTTCTGATTGTCGACGTCATAAGAGTCGAGGAACTATCTGAGCGCAACACGAAAAGTCTAATGTTCACACCGTTGGTGCATTATCGCTTTCTGCCTCTTTTTTAATGATTTTCATTTCTTTCAACTCTTTCGGTGTTGGATGTCGTCGTGGTTTCCATTCGCGATTAAATCGTAAGCATCGAAGTTGGTAAGTTTGGTGGGATAGGAAGAAAATTTGGGTGCACTTTGGATGTTGCTGTATATCTTTCCTCGCAGTTTGGCTGTCTATTGGATCACTTTCCATCGCGTGTCTGCTGTTCGAGGGGCTTATTGACAAAGTCTGTGGAGAGGCGTTGCAACGCGCGTGTCCGTCGGTCCGGAGGAATTGATAATTGTGCTCTCTTCGAAGGCATAGCAATTTGAGTTGCACGATTTCTAGGTTCTGTTGCTCGTCAATTAATTCACCGATTTAACGGGAACCGGATCAAGCCTTACCTGTCGTCTTGAATTTGAAAGTTGCAATCATGGGAGGCAGTGATATTTTCGACCTCGAGAAGCATTTTGCATTCTATGGAGCGTTCCACAGAAACAAAATTAACATCCTCGTTCACGTCTGCTTCGTTTGGCCCATCTTGTTCACCGCCTTCGTTCTGCTCGCTTACACGAATCCCCTGGTGCCACAGCTGCCTGTCATGGCTGGTCTGCCTTACCATGAGTACGTAGTGTTCAATTGGAGCTTTGTCGCAGCTGCTGCGTACGCGTTGTTTTATATTGTCTTGGAGCCTAAGTCAGGGTCGTTGGGAGCCCTGCTGGTGCTGCTGTGTTGCATGGGAGCGAACGTTGTTGCGCAGCAGATTCCTTATGCTTCTGGATGGAAGGTAGGTTTCGCCACTTTCTGTTGCCTCAGGCGTTGCAGTGCCTTCAAGATAGTTTCTGACTGCAATACCGTCCTGAAAACTTGTGTGCATGGAGAGTGTGCAGATCGTAGCAATTTCGCAGGTTCTGTGTTGGTCATTCCAATTCATTGGCCACGGTGTATATGAGGTTCGTGTTTGCATCCATCCATGCTTGCATGTTTACTACCTCAAAGCCTACATGAGGTTACCAAATTTTTCCTAGTTATCATCGTGACCGCTCTGCTCCTGGAACATGATTAAGTTGAGTATATTCGTAACTTGTTTACTGTGCATTATCATTTCTGGTTTAGAAACGTCGGCACCTGTGAAGGAAATAATGAATCGAGAAGAAATATGATTTCATTCGTGTAGGATGCTGTAGTATACTTTTAATGGATACAGCCGAATGATGACGCTTAGGACGCGTATTCTCTGCCAAAGCTATAGTTCACAATCGATGTGTCTCTAAATACTGACGATGGGGTTACTCTAATGTTCATTTTCTTATGCTGCGTTGTGAAAACAGAAGCGTGCGCCGGCTTTAATAGACAATATTGTACAAGCATTCCTGATGGCTCCTTACTTTGTGATGCTTGAGGTACATTTTCTGTCCTTCGATGTCTTTCCAAACAAAAGCTTTTACCGTAAGTTCATCACCGCTCAACCATTTTATGCCTCGATAGAAATACTATCTAAGGTTTGTTGGATTTCGAGGTTGCACGTAACTAGCTTCGGCAGCATGTTTCGTAAAATTGGACGTTTTTCCTTTGCAGAGAGTGAACTAGTAGCGGAAGCCCTGTAGAAGCTTTGAGTCAAGATCAAACACTCGTTTCTCACCAATAAAGTATTAAATTGTCAGACACATGGCTGAAGTTCTCACGTACCCTCACATAGGCATTTTATGGCTTTGAGAATAAAAAGAACGATAACTGTTGAAAAATCTGATGTGTTCCGCAGATCTTGCACACAATATTCCACTTTGAGCCGTACCCAGGTTTCAGCAAAAACGTGCAAAACAAAGTGGGCACTCACATTGCAGAGTTTCGAGCCAAGAAGGCCAAGGCAAAACATGTAGAATGAGTAAGTTCCACAGTCTAGAGAGTGATGTTGGGTTTACTAGGCCCTGATATCAGTTGCAGGCGAAGCATATCTAGAAGTCAGGATTGCACAATGAGTGCCTTCTCTGTTTTATCTTCGACATAAATTTGATTAGTAATGTTTGTGTACTCAACATCACAAATTTCAATTATGTGCGTGCACATATATACACACATGCAACACTTAATGTACCAAAACTTTATTCTATATGTGAAAAACTATAAGATCTTGAACCTCCTTTTATGTTTAGATTGTGAAAGATATTAGATATACTCAAAAAATAAGTAAAGCATCCACTACATCTATAGGGCCACTTCACACTATGGCTGTTTAATTAAGCACACCTTAGACGAATCTACTTAAAATTAGGCAAATGGATAATGTAGAAGTCACTAAAATACAAGAAGTTCAACCTTTATTTTGTCTACTCAATTAAGAATTGGACATTTGTTTTTGTTGGGTCGAATTTCTTATGAAGCAGACAACTCTTTGGTGCCAACATGGCCATAAAGTGTTGCCATATAGGCACTTTTGTCCAAAATGTTTACTAGCCATTTGTCTCTAGTGTAAAAAGATTGAGTGGTCAGTTTTTTTCTTTTCATCAATCATACTATGGAAATTCTTTGTTTGCTCAACAATTAGTCATAGTGTGAAGTGACTCTTAAAAGAAGTATATCAAACATCTACAAAAATACTTTATTTTGAATGCTATGTGTTTTAAATGTGATTTTTCCTATCTCTTGATCATCCTAAATTGCTAGAAAGTCCATATAAAGATTTTTTTAAAATAACATCATATCATATAAATAAATCATATCATATATTTCCATTAAAAAAATAATAATGTTGGAAAAAATGATTAAATATTTTAAATATTATTTAAAAATACATTAACAAAATGTTAAGATTTTGCAATTTATTTAGATATTTTTAATAGTTTTGTAATAATTATCAATTAGAAATATATTTTTAATTTTGTAATAAAATTTTAGAAAACACAACTTATATTGAATTCTTTCACAAAATAAATTCCCAATAGATTTATTTATTTATTAAATACTACATAAAATATAAAAGGTTAAATAATTAAGTAATTAAAATTATAAGTTGAAATTACTCCAATTCAAATCTACTAATCTCAATTTTTCTATATCACATCACATCACAAGGGGTCAACTTCGATTCTGCTTGGTGCCTTTAAATTGTGCTTCTCCTGGAAGAAATATATAAAGCATTCAGAATAACCCAAGTTCCATTACAATTTACATTGTGAATTATCTGCAATAAATAAAATAAAACATATTACTTTTACTAATTTGTCAAAAAAAACATAGAAGTCATTTTCCTACTTTTTTTCAAAATTTAAAACTACCCGAAAAATCAACATATGTAGTAAAAATAATAATAAAAAGTAGTTCCACAAAGAGTAATTTAACAGAGATGAGTACTTTAATTTCATTTACGACATCCATTCATAGAACTATATTTATTCATATAAATACATTCATCAGTCGAACGACATTCATCCCAACAACGACAGTCATCCACCATTCACTAGGTGAAGGCCTGGCGGAGTTCCTCTTTGGAGCTCTTCCAGACCAAAATGCGGTGCCGCGGGCCCTTTTGCTTGTTTCAGGTTGCCGATTTGAAGTTTCATGGCGCTGCTAATTCCTGGTCCCGACACCACTCAATCGTGTAGCTGTGAGCTTAGTATGTGATTGTGTGAAGAATTTACTTTTAAGCCTACTCGATGGCGGCGAGATTGTTGAGATCGGGTGGGCGGGGGACGTTCTATTCACCGCATCTGCAGCGGATGCCTGGGTTTTCCTCGTCGACAGGTGCTGTGAGGCCTGCAAGTTCCGCTGCCGAAATCTCAGCGGCTGCTTCCACTCTTAAGCCGGGTGAGCTGGTGAACTTACTGGTAGTTGTTTGCAGTTCATTGTGTAGGTTTGTTATTTTCGTTGACTCTTTTGGATTAGCGAGTGTCGATCTCGATATGGAGCCCTTTTTGTTTTTTTTGTGTTTTTATTTTGTTTTCCTGAGATGTTTATGTAGCCTTATTCCTCCGATTCGACGGGCACAATGAGGAACGCCACAGAGGAGGTGGATCAAGAGTGCAATGCAGCTCTTGTTGACGAGGGTTTAGGGTTTACACTCTTTTGTGTTCCTTTTATTTTTCCTAAGGTTAGGGTGAATGAAGAGAAATTTGCATTGACTGTTGTTTTTCTTTCATTCGACTACAGAAGAAGCAGGGAAGAAATGGGGACTATCAGTGCTTGTCCTCCTTGTGCCGTGCGCAGCTACTTTCGGTTTGGGTTCCTGGCAATTGATTCGTCGTGAGAAGAAGGTAGTCAGTGTAGCTTATTTTTCAGCGCACTCAGCCATGCTACATTTGTTCCCTATTTTTTTCTTCGAGGGTTTTATTTTTAAGAATTTGATTCACTTTGCCTTACTTATCTCGATGTCATATCGGGTGTAAGTGCCACATCAGATGCATTCTCTGTTCCGTTTGCGATCGTCGTAACAACCGGTCTAAATTGCTCATCGCATTGTGCTTTTGCATCAATATCACAGAGTTTTATTTGAGTCTAAGCGTCTGGTTTCTATGATGGGGTAGGTTATTATGGCCTGAGACTGTTTCCTGAGAGGATTGGGTGTATATGCAGATTGAGCTGTTGAATTTCAGGCGAGAGCGATTTGAGGAAGACCCAATCGCTCTTGAGGAGGCACTTAGCATCAAAAGTCAGAATGCAGAATCTGTCTCGGACGTCTTGCAATATAGAAAAGTGCACTGTGAAGGGATCTTGGATGAATCAAGGTCCCTTTTTGTAGGACCACGTTCTAGAACTTTGTATGGGGCAGCAGAGAAGGGATACTATATGATCACACCACTCATCTGCAAATCAAAAGACGATGACAGGTGAATACTTATCTGCGTATTGATTTTTGCGTGCACTCTCCTGTTTTTATTTGTTGATTGGCTTCATAACTAATATCCTGCACAATGACGTTTAGCATGGATCTCCTTTTGTTGAGCGAGTCGCATGTAATTATATTTGGGATTTGATCCATATTGTTCATCGTGGTTCGCTGAATATTGTCAGTTTCCAAAAGATTATGTATCATTCGTGTTAGTTTATATAGGTATTTAATATTGGGGACCGCTTGGTGTTAGAGTGCAGCTCCCGGTATTGGTCAATCAAGGATGGGTGCCCTCTAGTACGCGAAATCAAGCATTGAAACAGGAGCAGCCTATTCATGTCGTGGTAAAAAGTGCACCCGAAGAGAAAAAAGTAAAGCAGAGTTCATGGTGGGGCGGATGGGGCAAACCTCAGGCCACTGAAAAGGTGATGATTCTCTCTGAAGTGGTCTTTATCTAGTTGCTACATATGTGGAACTCGTCTACTCTAAAATGGAAGTCCTTTAAGGAAGAAGTTCAAAAGTGCATTACGTGTGATTTTACATCATTTAGTAGATTAATTTATTTTTTGTTTTTTGTTTTTTTTCAACTTTCATTAAACTTAGAATTTAATATATGACTTTCGACGATCGCACAGGGGTGTCTATATAGGGTATGAAAGAATGATAAACCCATATCTTTATCTCCATTTAGCTGGTTTGTTTTATTGGTTTATTCTCATGGTTTTATGACTACTAACTTCATGTTTATCTACAGAATTATTTCTTCGATTGTTTTTTCTCTTCTACAATTTACACATCTAAATCATAAATCGTATCTTAATACATTTTAGGGCTCGGTGGTGGTGGGAGAGGATCCTGCAAAGCCCATAGTCAAGGTGGTTGGTGTGATTCGGGATGGCGAACAGCCTAACATGTTTGTTCCCAATAATCAACCGGATAGAGGACAATGGTTCTATGTCGACGTTCCAGTTATGGCCCAGGTGATGCATCTTCCTCCTGACGTTACCTACATGGAGGCTGTAGCTGCATCCTCGCCAGACAGGGAAGGCCGAAAGAAGTTTCCACTTCTTAAAGAGTCAGACTCGTTTTTGAAGTCGTCAGTCATGCCTCAAGACCATCTCAATTACGCGCTTACTTGGTGCGTACTTGGTTAAACTGTTTTCCTAGATGTCTGAATGCATTAATGTTCAGCTGCTTCACATGGTTGGCTATTATAGTATACCAGGAGTCATTCTTTGGACATCATTCTTGCAAACACTTGAAAGTATGTAACAGTTGGTGTGGCAATCAAGTTAATGTTCATAAGGCTTTGTTGTCTTTTGTAGGTATACACTATCTGCTGCCACCACCTTCATGACAGTGAAGCGATTGAAGAGTGGTAAGCGTGGCCGATAAGTGCCCTTAGGCAAGCATTGGTCTTCAGCATGCATTTACTTATTGAGTGAGCCCAGTCATGCATTTGGGATTTCGTTCAAGGCCTTCGTTACAGTTTGTCTCATGGGTTGGTGCAATGTTCTCTGTTGCTTGACAACCCACTGAGCATTGGCGTTTCTTATGTAATGAAAAACATCATTTGTTAACCAGTTTCATTCCTAAAAAGTTCATTATTTGATGCTGATCAAGGTTTCGTTTTCGAAATGTATCCACGTCTATCTTGCTAGAATTGGGCAATCTATCCGATTGGACGCGGCACTACATGCCTCGTAGCAAGTTTAGTTACCTCGTCGTTGACAGAAAATCTTGAGTTTATTTTCGATTTTGTGGATATGAAATGTTTTTGCTATTCGGTAATAACTAGAGACAATCTTGTGGCGAAGTCGATTTTTTTAGATGCACCATATAGCCGTACATCACAAGGACCTGCACGCTGGTCTTTACATAACAGTACCAGGAGAGCTGCCCGAGTTCCCAACTTGGGCTCCAAGGTAACGTAGAATAATGCATACACACCCTGCAGCGAAACACCAATTGAACACTATATACTCATGGTAAGGCAGAGCAGCCATGAAAGGCAGCTGTGGCGACAGGGGCTTCGTGTATGCGAGTAGCACGCCGAGCGAAAACGTGATAGGCCAGACAAAGGAGACATGAATCAAAACGTTGATCTTGTGACTATGGTATGCCCCACAGAATTCGAAGTGCTTCTCAAGATCGAAGATTCCAATGCCTCCATGGCTTTGAACCAAAGGTTACAGACTTCCAAATTCTGTCAAGTGTCAGCAGATATGATTGAAGTCGATGCAATCGATCATCGAAATCCTGGAGATCGAGTAACCAGAATTTCTGCACTTGAGGAGCAAGGCAAGGTGAAATCCTTGCAGATCTGTGAAAATTAGCGTTGCAGCACTACTTTGTGATAGGATATAACACTCACTAACTGCGAACAGAAAACTCTACTTTGACTTCGAGGCTTCCTGTCATGTCTATATAGTTCCTGAGCACGTCCACGTTGACAATGAGTATGCCATGGCTGTACGTATCATTATGGACGGAGTTCTGGTTAAGACCTGGTTAGGAGGCCGAAAATGTGAAAAACTTGATGAGCTGTAACATAGAACATTGGCATTTTTAAGTTTCAAAGTTGGATGAAGATTGTTGAGAGCCATTGTAAGTATTAAACTTGGGTAGATAAAATTACGATCGTTTCAATTTAGAAACGTCGAAAAAGTTTTCTGTTTAGAGGATGGAGGGTAAGATGAGATGATGCAAAATTGAGATCCACATCACGTTGGTTTCACAGTGAGCAAACTGATATGTCTGAAAACTTGCTTGAGGTAAATAACTCGCCACTGTCGACCGAACAGTCATGCCATCTGGTTTACACAAATATGTAATTTTTCCCAAACAAACCACAACGAAAACGTGGATTAATCTTGTCAGCCAGGGTTTCTGTGTTGAATGTGCACTTTGTTTAAAGCAATACCAGTGTCACTGCTGCATAGTTTTGCTGTCCTGACGGTCTTTCTTCACTTAAAGACGCCATTGTAGTACTTTGAATTGGTACTAAACGCACAAAATGTATTGGTAGTTGTATGTTACTGGACGCAACTACTCGCCATCCAGATATCTACTGGCATATTTCTTACTTCACAGAATTCCTACGCATTCCGGCAGATTCGATATGTCACGTTACAGCCTCTCTTGAATACGTGATTGTACCAAACACAGATCCTCCACTCTCACAAGCAGCGCGAACGAGCCATAGTACCTAGGGCATCACCGCGCAAGACCTAGTTACTTCGAGAACTTGGAAAAAACACTAGATATCGAAGGTCTCATGCGCACTCACCGAAAGCAAGACGAGATCTGAAGCCGCTTCGACAATTTCTCCCCGAATCCTAACTGCTTCTCGCTGGTCGACGGCCTTCGCCAAACAAACTCATGTCGAGGCTTCGAAACCAGAACTCAAACCACCATTCACGCCCCGGATTCTAAAACAGAGCAACAGATATTCAAAGTCACAAAAGCAATGCATTGAATCTCCACAGAAGATACTAGATTATTCACGAATAAGTGGTATTCACCAATTTTTTTTTTAGAGAAATCAATAAGTCCTACACTTCTATAAAAGAAAAATGGCTTACAATACTTTATTTTGATGAAATACTTATAGGAGAAATTATTTGTAAGAATACTTCTGATTGTGTATAGGAATGCGTCCAAATAAGGCCCGGATAGCATTCATCCATAAGATGGCTCCTCCGCCGCAGCCATGCTTAGTTGGCTTTGGCCACCGCCGGGTGGACTGTGGGTTGAAGAGCACGACAGCTTGTTGGTTCAATTTGGTTTCGAAATTGGCCCTTCCCGCGGTGTTGTGAATTCCTCTACAATCTCTGGTGGTTGCGCTGCTGAATGCTGTGAATCTGGCGGTCCAGTTCTCACATTTTTAATTCGGTGTCGAAGCTCTTTTTTTGGGAGGTTCGAGTGATGACTGTTGGGGGTTGAGCTCCGTGAAGGAACACTTCGACAACAGAGTGATTTCTGGGTGTTGCATCTTGTAAGCTTTCCGAACTCTGTACTGTAATTTTCTTCGCTCCTCCACTCATTTGTGCTTCGTCGGAGAATTGAATTTGCCACATCACCGTATGTAGATCAAATACAAACTCTGCCGCGAATCAGAGAGTGATTGGAGCGACTCTGCCTCTAGATTCTCGGACATTTGGCGAGTAATTCTACATTGGGATTTCATGCCACACGTTGTGGAATTTCTCTGGTGTCCTTTCATCATGTCTCCTTTCTCTATGGGATTAAAGCGAACCTACTGCTCCTTTAGGTTTGCTGCATGTTCCAAGTTATGGAAATAAATTGTAGGGTTTTAACGATTTCCGCCCTGCTAATCAGACGCGCATCGAACCCCAAGTGCAGCTTCTGGTGTTCCCTACCTGAGATTTTGTAATTTAGATTTGCCATTTTTCTTTTACATCTTTGGAAAGGTCTCGAGCAGCTTCAATAAAATAAAAAAAAACCATCACCAAAAAACCTCTACGCAATTTGACGCTTGTTTGTTGGTTTCTCTATACATCAAAGGATTACACATGGATCTCCAAAATCTAGAAGATTGGCTGGTTGTCGCATCAGGCCCGTCTTCTTCGACTGTGCAGCCATCAGCTAAGCAAGCTCGAGGGCATGTGCCCGCAGCTTGGCAAATTACAGAGGTACGTTTGAGAACTGCTTCTGAGTTATATCAATAATGTTTTTAAGGTTTAAGGGCATATTGTTTGAATTGCAAAGCATTAGATGCCCGATTGATTGAACGGATTTGTGGTGAGATAGTGCCCGATTGATACTGCCGATGCTTGCTCATTTTGAGCGCGATTGGTAGGGCACTCACAACAACGGTCTGTATTTGGCAGGGATGGGGCAAAATACGTGCGTGTGTTCAGCAGGGCTTGCTGGATTCTTCTCATGCAGAAGCTCTCTCTCTTATTGATCTGCATCACAAGTCAGTACATGTGGCAGATCCTCAGGTGAAGCTCCTTCTCGGGCTTTTGACAAAAGTGAGATGTGACAGCGTAGAACTCTTAGGACTTGCTCGGGCTTCATCAGCTCGTATACTGGGTGCGTGGGTGAGGAAAACATTTCTGAACACGAGTGCAAAACCTCTGAAGCAAGCTGAAGAGTTATTGATTACTCTTCTGGAAAGCGTACGCAATTCTTTACACGAGCTTCCACTTTCAGATACCTATGTGAACCAAGCAATCCTTCTTCTTGGATTGGTTTGCACCGTCCCTCAGATTTCTGACGATCAACGAGACGCATGTCAAAGTGTGATCACATTAGAACTTCTTGCTCGGAAGCATGTAATAGTGCAGGGTGAGCTCTCTGTTGTGCTGGCGGGTGTTGGCTATGCCATGTTAATGGGCCATAGCTCTTCAATTTCTTCAGTTCTTTCCGCGACACTCTCTTTGTGGAATTTAAACAATGAGGAACTCAACCTCGGCGACGCAGAAGGTCCACCATTGCGTGTGTCCTTAATGATTTTTCACCTCCTAGAGTACCAAGGCATGGCTATTTTTTCTAAGAAGAACATCTCCGCTCTATCTGTCTTAGCTGCAATAGTGACAGATATTGCACAGAAGACTTCTGACACGTCACCTCCGGCCACTCGGTGTGCGGCTTTCATGGCAGCTGCTGGACTTCGACGAGGCTTGACACAGAGCAGGACGGGAAGCTCAAATAGTCCAGCAGAGCAGGAGATGCAACGGCTGATACTCTCTCTAGAAATGGAACTAATAAGGACATGTGAAAATGCTCTGCGGCATTTGGAGCGATTGAAGATGCATTCTGCTCCTGGAAAAATTTACTGGAGTTTCTCTGAGGCTGCACTACGACACGTGCACAGGTGTATGGCTTTAGCATTGGCCCGCAGCAGAGGGCTTCTGTGTCACCCATCTTTTCTCCAATGCCTGGCGATCACCTTGTTAACCGACGTCCTATCACTGCATGATTTGTATTCTGCTCAAATTGAGGACCTCAGGCGGCCTTTACAGGATGTACATCAGTCTGGTAGTGCGCTAGGGTTTGCAATGGAGCGCCTTGAATCGCACGTAGACAGCTCCTTGTTTCACGAGGTGGGGGCGATTGCCCGGGCAATGTGTGAGCAATATAAGCCAGTCACTGAAGAGTATCATAACCGCATTGAGCTTCTGGTGTGGCAATTCACACAGGACATGTTCGTCGGTCATCGCACCTTTACTGTTCAATCAGGTAATAATAAGCCCAGAAGCTACAAATGATCTTGAACGATGCAGCTCATGGAGTCGGATGGACCGAGTGGAAAGATGCGAATTTGCAAAAATTAAACTCGTGTGCTTCTAGGACTCATTTCTACGTGCTGTGTGGAACAGGTACTGGGCTTTCAAGAGAAGGCAAGGAAGCAATAGCCGTAGAGAAAGTGCTCATATCTTCGTTTATGACAGTGGTAGTGTTTTTCTCAAGAGCTATTGATACCAAGCCAGGAACGAAGGCAGGTAACCTAATGACAGCAGAAAAAGCCGCAAGAGCACTGAATTCGCTTGCTTGTGTTGAGTTTTGCCGGCGTGTACAAATGCAAGAGTATGGAACTCTTGTGGAGCGTTGTGTTTCTTATCTTTCAGCACATCCTGCAGCTGCGAGAATATTTGCAGGCTTCTTACCTCCGTACAACAGCATTATTCATTGGCCTGGTATGTACTAGTAGTTATCTTTTGTATTGTCAGTTAGTTGAATACATCGGTTTCGGTTGGTTTTGTTTCGCTAGTACATATTTATATTCCTTAAATCTTGATTCTTTACCTTCTCGTGTGACTTCTTGCATGGAATTTTTATGCAGGCTGTCCAGAACTCTACAATATGGCGTATGATTGGAGTCGTGATGCTGTGCTGACGACCCATTTATCCTTCTACTTACGAGTCTTTCCCTCATTTCTGTCGAATATTCCTGAAATCACATTCTCAAACGATGTTGCACCTGTTATGTTCTTGTATCCTCCAAATGCTCCAATGGTTACATTTACTTTACATTGCATTCAGTGATACTTTTAACGATTATGCACTTTGCAGATGTTTAACAAAGTCACTTCTTATAAGCATGTCCTTGACCCGTGCCAAAGATATTTGCAGCATCCAACAGTGTTGGTGTCCAATGCCGCTCATGCTTTGTTTGTACACTTTCTTGGTCTTGAATCCTTGGGGACTTCATCAGATAGAACAGATGCCTCTAAAAGTGAACTAGGACAAGTCAGTTTGCGTGAGAAACTCTCTGTTTATTACGTGGAAAGAGCATTGGAGGTATTGTGCTCTTATAATGTTTTGAGCATAATTTGATTAATATTGTACCGTTTGTATTCATTCAGCTTATATCTTTAGAGTAGAAAATAATGTCTTGGCCAGTATTTCCATGGATCTTATTTATCTGTGACAGTAAAACAGGTCAAAGTTGCTAGTTGTGTCTCATTCTCGCTGAATACACAATTGGAGTGTGTGCAGACATTTCCAGGAGTGACTCCTTTTGATGCCCTTGTCTATGGAATAGCAGCTATTTCAAAGACTCTTCCTCCGGGTAGCCCTGCAACTCTACATTGTATTAACCTGCTCGTTCATAAAGCATCAACTCTGAAGCCTATGAGCACAAGTGTCAAAGATGTTAAAAAGGGAGCAGAGAAGGATTTAGATGACCTTGGAGATGCTGAGAAACTCCAGTTGCTGTTATTGCACTTGATCGGGCGTGTGGACTTGCAGGTTTGTCCTAGTGCCGAGTTGTGTGCAGATATAGCAGATCTCTTCCAGATACAAAAAAACATCTGCATGTTGATAGTCGGTCTTTCTTTGACGGCTTTTTTTCATATGCTTACAGGTTCTCCCGGAGCTGCTGAGGCAAACGGCACACTTGATTCTTGGTCTACCTCCTCAGGCACGCACAGTAGCACTTGAAAATGCGTTTGAAGTTGTAGCAGGTAGTAGTGACTACACGAGGAAACCGATCGTTATTCCATGGCTCCAGTCTGTGGCCTATCTGGTCACCCACCAGCCACCTCAAAGTGCTCCGCAAACTTCCCTAAAGAAACAATCAGCTTCTGAGGAAATTATTAGTCTCAACCCTAGCATGGGGATCATAACAGTTGGAGAGCAGAGACAATGTTCTGTTCGTCAACAACAATCACTACAGTCCTGTTTGTAAAATATTTTGGGAACACAGAAATCAATACTGCGATTCTACAGCCTATATAAGAGAAGCTTGAGGATGTTTAGTACAAAAGAAGATTCACAACAGTAATGTGTCTGACTAATATAGCAAAGCAAATCATCAGATTTATACATTCCATGGCAGAATTGGTCAAGAACCTGAGGGTTCATCAGAATATTCCGTGCGCTCGTGAAATGGACTAGACACGATGTGCGGTCAGTCATTGTGGACGCCCTCCTTGACACACAGAATTTATCTCTGATGTCCGTGCGGAGAACACTCCCTGGCGGTCATGGATGGGGCAATTTGGTTTCAAACATTGGAAAGAATTAGGATTTGGGCCAATGTGTATCAGCTTCTGAGCCCCCCCTGTTGTGCGATGTCTTCAATCAAGGCTATGTGAACGAATGACCTACAAGATGCATAAATTCACTACTCGAGCCAACTGGGCATTTGCGAGGCCTGTTCGAATCCTTAGCTTTTCCTCGCAGCATGCAGCAAATCCTCTGTGCTATCTCATTCTGTTATTTGAACTTTTATCTGTTATCTCAAGAGATCAAACAGCAGATTGCTCACACACTACTAACAATGCGCTGTAGTCGAATGCGAGGAGATTCGAAAGTCCCACAACATTCAGATACATGATTGCATTTGACTGCTACTTTATCATTGCAACGCATGCTTATACGAATAACTGCCAATCATGCATGCTTTCAACTGAATCAATGGCGGAGCACACAGCAACTGCCAAGCGACTTCACACCCTTCACAACGTCCGTTCCCAAAGAGCGTTTCCAGCCCTAAATCCTAAACACCAAACCTGGAAAATCTGCGATCGTGTGACCCAGTTGAATCCACCAAGCACTCTGGATCGCGATATTTGTCGAGAAATTTAATCTCGGTAACCATCTCAACGTGAAGTAGGCAAAAAAATTAGCTATAGAGTCCGTAGCAAAGGGCAGGGAGATATGTACAGCCGGGAACAATCAGTGATGCCTAACAATCCAGGCAGCTGCTACGGATATACTGAAACACAATTAGAAATCTGGAGCTCACGGCACCGTCACCACAGTGATACCTGGTCTCCGCATCCAGGGCGGGTCTACGCATATTCCCCGAGTGTTTGGCGCCAAATTTGAACGTTTGAATTTAGAGTCACGGTCGCTGTGGCGACCAGTGGTCGTTCGGATCTGGATCTGAGCCTATGGCTCTGTTTGTGTCCACGACGGCTCTGGTCGTCTTCTGTTGTCCGCCTGGCGGTTTCTGGGTGCCTCGGGTGTGAGCTTCTCGGAGAAGCCAGCGACTTAAGTTTTTAAAATTCCCTGTCCTCTCCAAGTTGGTGTGCGTCTCTTCTGCGTTAAGCTCCTTGATCTCTGGCTGGTTTCTCCTGCTCGGTTGATAGATGACTGAGATCTCTTGTAGCATTGCGCAGTTGAGAACTCGGCACCTGGCGCTCTACTGATAAAATTTGGAGAACATTTACCGTGGTCGATTTCGTTGGTTGCCTGTTCTCGGCTCTCGTTTAGCGGATTCAGGTGGGTGGCTTTGTTTGTCAGGCTTGATAGTTATTCAGTGCTTTTCAACAGTGCAGTGTGGTTTAGAGGATCCCGCCTGCCATTGTCGGGGTTCAATAGTCAGCTGATTCGAAAAATTGGCAAAATTAGTGAATAATTTGGATTAGCTCTGTTACTTCTGTTCGTGGTGGCAGACGTTCATTTATTGCGTTGATGTTATCGTTATTACGTGGAGCTAGTAATGCTTCAGCATTGCCATCGTTTCTTTTGAATCAATCCCTTCATCAATGAAATGTGCCCACGATTTTCTCACTTATGACATGAAAGAATTGAGATGTTGCAGGATTCTTAACCAGCATTCTTTTAACTAACACTGCTTTCGCTGCTAGTTTCTAGGTGAAGCTGCATGGCTCCGCATCTTCCCGATTGTATGATCTGCGGGTCTCCAGAGATTTCTATCTCGGATCAGCAGAACGAGAAGAGGTGCTTTATCTGTTTATTCTCGTCGTATCATCTAATCAAACTACTCTTCGGTGACATGAATATCAATAACCTATTTCATGGATTTTCAGTTATTGATATGTATTGCTGTATTGGTGACAGCAGAAGCGTAGTTGCGTTTCATTATCATGTTATGGCGCTAAATTTCTTATAATCTGGTTTAGTGATGTAATATGCTTTCACAGTGGCCATGAATGGTGCCGAGTGATGGTTGCTGAAAATTGACATTGTATCGCAGAGGAGAAGTGCCTTCCATGATGGTCGTTAGGCAGGAGGAACCGATTTTGATGGAAAATCCAAACCGATTCACAATGTTCCCCATCAAGTACCCTCAAGTATGGGAAATGTACAAGAAGGCAGAAGCTTCTTTCTGGACAGGTAAGTCTCATTTCCTTGTCCAGACATCAATCGTCGTAGTCATGCGGAAATCATAGGATGGTCCCTCCACCAAGGTTTTTTCGGAATTAATCTTGCCATTGATGGACTCGAAGTAGTTTTACTCGAGTCCTTAGTGGGCATCAATACGCATATCAAAAACATTTAAGTCAGTGTCGTGAGCTCCAAGATTATCAATTTTATCAAAACTATGGATGTCTCCGGAGGCCCAATATCTGAAAGTGAATGGTATTTGGATGCAGCGGAAGAAGTCGATTTGTCGGCAGACTCGAAGCATTGGGAAGCCCTGACCGACAACGAACGTCACTTCATCAGTCATGTGCTGGCTTTTTTTGCAGCATCAGACGGCATTGTGCTCGAAAACCTAGCTATTCGCTTCATGAAAGAAATTCAAATACCCGAGGTGAGCATTATCCAGCACCTTTTTTAGTTCAAAACTATTCTTGTCCAGATATTTATTGCCCAGGGATTTTTTTCGACTATTTTCAACATTTGAGTCGAAATTTACAGCCTTTTGGGTGCAGGCAAGAGCATTCTACGGATTTCAGATTGCCATCGAAAACATACACTCTGAGATGTACAGTTTACTGTTGGAGGCATACATCAAAGATCATGCCGAGAAAAATCGGCTCTTCAACGCCATTGAAACCATACCATGTGTCACCAAGAAAGCAGAATGGGCTCTGAAATGGATCCACAGTGCTGGAAGCTTCGCGGAGAGAATTCTGGCCTTCGCCTGTGTCGAAGGGATTTTCTTTTCGGGGAGGTATAAACCATATCCAACATCTGTTGCTTATCCTCGTATAATTTGCTTCATCTGGGCTTTAGTAGGTTTCTAGTGATCTTTAATCACTAATGTTTAGAAGGGTTTCCTTACCACTTATTCTGCATGTTCCAGTTTTTGTGCCATTTTTTGGCTGAAGAAGAGGGGGCTCATGCCAGGGCTTACTTTTTCGAATGAACTCATTTCACGAGATGAGGGCTTACACTGCGATTTTGCATGCCTTCTGTACACGTAAGTCGCAATTGGGCATCTATCATATGTTGGTTTGCGCTTCTACTTAGCTTGCTGCTTTAAATTTACAGAACATTGCAGTTGGCTTGAGACCATTATCAAGTTTGACATTGTTCGTTTTGTCTATTCCAGGTTGTTGAACAACAAACTTTCTGAAGACAGAGTTTACGAGATAGTCTGTGAGGCTGTGGTGATTGAACAGGAATTTGTGTGCGAGGCTTTGTCATGCGACCTTGTCGGCATGAACAAAACGTTGATGAGCGAATACATCGATTTCGTGGCAGATCGCTTACTGGTACGCCCTGTTCCAATCAGCACTATGGAAGGTCTTACCTTCCTAATGTTACCACTGTACCTTATCGTCTTCCACTCTGCTTATCCCCTTGTTAATGCTGCAGGTGTCGCTTGGGTACCCAAAGAAGTACAACTCCCATAACCCTTTCGATTGGATGGAGCTCATTTCTTTACAGTAAGTTCGTTTCTGGTTTTCCTTTATCGATTGCGGTTGCCATCGTTGAACATTTTGGTCTCTATTTCAGACATAGAATTATGCTGTACGGCGCCGCGATCTGATGTGAGATACTTGGTTCATTTGCAGAGGCAAAACCAATTTCTTCGAGAAGAGAGTAGGAGAGTATCAGAAGGCTTCAGTGATGTCCAATCTGAACGGGAATGACGCAAACAATCATGTGTTTAGATTGGATGAAGATTTCTGAGTGGACGTGCCGACCTTGTACAGATGTGGGCTCTCGCTGAACCACATGGCGGAGCAGTTTTGATGAATTTAGCCAAATGCAAGAATATACTGTTCGCGTAATTAGGCAACTATTTCGGAGATTGGGGTATATGAATGTAAACGCGTGTACAGTATTAAATAGCTTCATTATCATATACTATGACTATCGGGTCCGAGTTTGGGGTTATAGCAAGTACACTAGAGTTTTTGGCAATTACTGATTATTACCACTACACAAATGTTGTCGATAGCTGTGTAGCTTACGCTGCCGTAACTAGACAGTCCTCCCCATGCCACTATCAAAATTGTTCAAACCCCCTCATTGAATGAAGAATGACATGGGAATCGTAAATCACGTAATTCAACGCAGTTGGCAGGAATGTCCCTGTGAAACGAACCTCTCCCGTCCACATGGTCAAGTGCATGTGACATCTTAATCCTCGCAGGCATGTTATCTTTCTGGTCTAGCATCCGACTTGTGCTACTCCATTCCTACCTGGAAATCTCCACCGGAGTGAAAATCAAGCACCAAAGCGCAACACATTGGGTACCTTGGCACGTGTATAATGGCCATTGGCCGATGCGATGTGCTAAGCCCACCGAGGTCGGATTGTCCCAACACAATGGAAATGGGCTTAAGCGTCAGAGCTCGAGTCAATGGCTTGTGACCGAGTGAGGTTGGGCCGACGGCCTACTCATTCCATGACTGTATTAGAATGTATTCAGACTTGTATAAACTGTAAATTAGACACCATGTCCTCTAGGATTTGAATATAGTAATCTTACCACCCTTGATGATTGCAGTGGGTCTACCGTGCACGTAGATCCCCATCAAGCTATTGTCCACATGTTGACGTTGGACGCTGATGCTTACCTTGGAAGCTGCAACGTAGAGTGTAATATCAGCGAGGGTGTTGTGTTCCTAGGTTACAGAACTGTCTTCCGTCCGCCATCCAGGAACAGGAGTTTTCTCTCTGTAGGTTCTGTCTTGTGTCCGCATAGATTTCCAGTGCGATAATGCTCTCTCGGAATTGGGGGTTGTTCTTAGCCGATTCAACCAACCAGTGGAGGTCTTTCGATCCGTAGTGTACCGTGTTGTATTGGCGTTGCCTTTCTTAGTTAACCCTTTGTTTGCAGCAACGTGTGCAAGGTGAGACGTGTTGATATGTCATTCTCTCTAGTTCTACCTCTACCAGAATATTGTCTATTTTCTGTGACATCTGAGTTTCAGCCAGATGATTTGATTTGATGATGTCATTGTGTATAGGTTGTTGCCCTGCATCCATAATCTTGTTATCTTTTGTTTGTCGGATAGAGGGAGCATATTGTCCATGGTTAGACAATGCAAATTAGCCTTTGGATTTGGTTCTTTAATTCTTGCTCAACCTTGTCAAAGAGTGCCTATTATTAGCTAACAAAAAAACATATTCATCATGAGAATTTGTCTTAATAAATTCTAGCATAGGTTGCTTTTAACAATTTGTTTTTTTTATTTATTTAAATTTTTTTATTACTAATTCATAAAATTTGTGTTTTTAAGCACAATAATTATTTTTTTTGTACTAAATATATAAGTGAGTTAATTTGGTGACTCACAACGTATAATCCTATATATTTTAATTTTTGTAATACATGACAAATATAAAGTGCATTCCCTTTTGTATTCTTAGAATAGATTAAAATGTCATCCAAGTAACAGATGATAAGTCATTAAGAAACTCATGAAAGTCATCATTCATTAGATGTTGAAAAACAATTGGCGCATTAATGAGTCTAAAAGATATGGCATTATATTCAAAATATCCATACCTAGTTCAAAACACAATTTTTCATTCGTTTCTTTCTCAAATGCTTATTAGGTTGTATGCTCTTCGTGGATCTATTTTGGTATAGATCTTTGCATGATTTAGTTGATCAAGAAGTCCTAAAATCAAAGGTAGAGGATATCTATTTTTGATGGTAATCTTATTGAATCATTGATAGTCCACACACATCCACAAAGATCGATTTTTTTTTCTTCACAAATAAGATAAAAGTCCCTATTAAAAATTTAGAGTGGCATATGAAGTTCTTAGCCAAGTACTTGTTAATGTATTGCTTAGTACAACCAATTTTTTTTGTGATAGGCTATAGATTGGTCCAAAAGTTGGTTGAACTCTTTCTTGAAGATTTATGGAACAATCATAGAAACAATGTAAAATAAGACTGGTGTTATATTGTAAATGCTTATAGTATGTAAAAATTAGTTAAAACATATTATATGTTAATAAACCTAGATGTGTGTTAGAGTAGCTAGTAGATTAAATTAAAAGGAGTTGGTATAAGAAACTTTACTTTGTTTCTTTACTTGTTTTGATTTTTACATTAAAAAAAAAATATAGGACCTAAATATTTAGTATGAAGCCTTGGGAGAAGGTAGAAGCCTAAGGATGAAAATCTAAACTAGTAGGAAGCTAATTGGTCGAATACCATGCCCAATGGGCTTTGAGGAGGCTGCCTGCGACCTTAACAAGGGTTTCGGTGACTTCAAAGAAGGCATTCGGAGATTAGAAGCTAGGATTATAAAGTTTAGGATTTGGGATACAATTTTTGGATAAAAAATAGAGGATTTGGAGTTAGAGTGAAGAAGTTATAGCCGTTTGAAGTTAAGGTGTTAATTTAAGATATACTATTATTCTTTTGAGAATACGAGGAGTTGTATAGTAGCTTTTGAAGATCGGAAGGTGCGAATGGAACGGCAATTTCAAAGTCTACATCTTTTATGAAAAAATTATTGCTTTTGGAGTTCATGTAAAGGAGTTATAAGGAGTTTAAGATGGCGCTTCCAAATCAAAGGTAGTAAGTAAGCGGTTCTATTTATAGTAATGGTTGGAGCCATAACTTGAGTTTTTGGATGAATTTTTGAATCAAAATTTTTTGAGAATGTAAAATTTTGTATTAAAAAGCTATACATACAAATTTCGTGGCATTTGAGCTTATATTAGGTGAGATATAAAGAAAAATGCACCCAAGTATATAAAGACAAGGGTTTGAAGTGACTGTTAGGATTTTCAAGATATCTCAAGATCCGCAATGAATTTGCAATTGAAATTTGTTTTAAAAGTTAATAAGAATACATCAGTACCTCATGTAAAATTTGAATTTGTTTGGATGGTCGGATTAGGAGATATGAGGTGTTGAAGTTCGGGAAAATTTCCACATAAGGATATACAAGGTTTTAGAGGATTTTATCATACTTTGGGTGTTGTTGGTTACTTGAGGCTTGTGTATTTGGTGTAATTTCTCAAAAGAGAAAATTTATATATAAACTTCGGGCTTTTCTTATTTTGAAGCTTGATTGAATGATTAGTGTTAGCCAGAAGCCTAGCATTTTCTTGAGGCAAATTCTCTTTACTTCGACACCAGTCTACCTTAAAAGTTTAAGATCCTTCTATTCCATAGCAACATAGAACCTCATCTCAAAATAGGACAAATTGGACTAGAAAAAAATTGAAAAAAACTAAATAGAATGAGACACAAAAGACAAAATTAAATAAATGGGAATAGAACAAAACAAAATTGAACAGAAAGATGCAAATCCAAAATTTACTAAAAAAGATGGTTCAAAACCATACCTGACCATATACTTTATTCTACCACCTTGAATTTTCTAGAATATTCCAAAATAGTAGATCTTACTTAGATAACTGCCTTAAATTCCTTCTAGAAGATTTTATAGTAGATCCCATCTAAATAATCACTATAAATTCTTTCTAAAATATTCCATGGTGGATCCTACCTAGTCCACTAACCTAATTCCAATTCTAAAAACTTCTATGGTTTTAACTATCTATCCCTACACAAATATCTTATCTATACTATTTTATAGTTAATTCTTCTCTACTAATGCGGAATGTCCTTCGTTTGCTCTTAATGATATCTCTAAATTACCTCTTGGCAATAGGTGAGATTTTGTGGAGGTTCCTACGTTGCATCGCGAATAGAATAACCTTTCCAAATAACTTTGTATTGAAGTTATAGATGTCTACTACCTTGGCAAAGGTAGCGATGCTCCAAAATATTGTCCACATTATATTCTTATTAGTTATCAACTATAATTGGTGGTTGTAGTAGTTGATGTCGATCTAAAAAGCGCTTTGGCTCGGTAAGAAATTCCTTAAGTTATAAAACATGGAAGATTGGATAGATCCAAATATATGGCAAAAATTCAAGGTGATATGCAATATCAAAAATCATTGCAAAAATGCAAAAAAGTCCAAGCCACCAAAGTGCTAGTTTATGGATTTGGATTGATGTAACAAGTGGCAAGTTGACATTAGAGAATAAAACCTAATCACCATCTTGAAAGATCTTATGTTGCTGATGGTTATTCCCACACTGCTTCTGTCAATTTTATATAGTAATGAGGCAATGCCATGCCTCTTATAAGGTTGTATAAATTCTTCTATTGTCGAATTTTTGATGTCAATAGGACAATGGAGAATTGCTGGTGTATTCAAATGTTGACCGGTATTAAGAAAAAATAGTGAACGACTAGTACTTGCTTGAATACTATCATTATAAGTAAATTCTAAGAGCATCAAATATTCATCCTAATCATTATGATGAACCATCACAAATGCCTACAACATATATTCCAAGGTCCAATTTGCATGCTCTATTTGTTCATCTATTTGAGAATGGAAGGTTGTAGACATGGCAAGTTGTGTGCCTTGTAGCTTGAATAAGACTTGTCAAAAATTTCTCATGAAGAATGGATCTCAATCTGAAATGACAACACCAATTAATCTATGGTGAAAAAAGATAGTATCAAAGAAAACTCATGCAAGTATTAGAGCATCTATATCCGAGCATATTGCAACCAAGTGAAGTTGCTTTAAAAATTGATCTACAAAGACAGCAATCGTGATATGATTATGAGGCGTATGTGTCAAACACGTAATGAAATCTATAGTCACCTGCTTCCAACATACCGTAGGTAGTGGAATTGGATACAATAGTTTAGGAGATGCTAGATTGCATGCTTTATTACACTGACATGACTTACAAGAGTGTACAAAGACTCAAACATCGTCATCCAAACCTTTCTAAAATCATATCCTTGAAATCTGTTCTAGAGTCTTTTCTTGTCTTAGATGTCTAGATATTGGGATGTCATATCCCTCTTAAAATATGCACATCTAGAATATAGGATTTTTGGGTACATAAATTTACTTCTTGAAATAGAGTAAGCCATCATTAAGAGTGTAATCTTGATGTATACTATATATTTCCTACTTTCAATCAATCACTAACCATCTTGAAATAAGCATCCTGATACATAGTTTCCTTCCATTTTGCCTCTTTGGTTAGATTTGAAATGATATTATTAATGGTAGCGACTTTTGTCTTGT